GCAGAGGCCTCTGCATTTATTGAGGATCTGGACTTTGCTGCAGCACTCGGTGGCACAGCCAATACAAGCCTAAAGAAGAAGAAATCTGCCGCCGTGACACCGAGTGAGTTCCATCAGTCTACATACCATTTTTTGGCGACAAAAAGGGGAAAGTTGTTGTATTGGAGACGAATGTGAACCTTTTTTTTTTTTTGAAGATGCTGGTGTGGACTTTTCTATCGCCGAAAGTGCAGATGACTTATCAGCAAGAACAACTCTCATCATCTGCCCCCTGTCCGTGATCAGCAACTGGCTGGTAGGAATACAGCATCACATCTCCATTACATCCACAATCTACAATCCACATTGCTTGGAATTTCTCTGAAATCCAGTTCTTACTATGCTTTTATGTTTATATCTATGCTGCTTGTCACTAGAAGTTGGCAAACATAATTCTGTGGTTTGCCAATGCTTCTATTTGCTCTGTTCAATGCTAGTTTTCCCTCCCCGAAGTCAGCCATGTATCCTCCTTTGTGAAGTCTTTGTTGTGAAGTGCAGCTTATAATAATCACCCAAACACATCTTGTATTGAACGGAAACCTTTTTACTGTCTAAAACAGTGTGCAGAACGCGCTCTCGATACAGGTTCACATGTTATAGTTTACATCAAGCGAAGACACGTCATGCTACTTCCCCTTTTTCACAAAATAAAAGTACTTGCTGTTAAGTACGCTATTCATATAAGCAGTGTTACAGAAGCAGCATTAACTACATTTCTCATGGAATCAAACAATTTAAAACAGTCTTTGTGTGTGTGTGTGTGTGTGTGTGTGTCTGTGTCTGTGTGTGTCTGTGTCTGTGTGTGCAGGACCAGTTTGAGCAGCACGTGCGTGCTGACGTAAAGCTAAACGTGTATCTGTATTACGGCGCAGAGCGTAACAGGAGCAAGACCTTTCTGTCCTCTCAGGATGTGGTGATCACAACCTACAACGTCCTCTCTGCCGATTTTGGGGTGAGTGCAGACCGGTCACACGCATATCTGTACCTGTAAGGCTTCACTCAGAAAGGTTCATGTGAAGGTGTTGAATGGAACCATTCTATACTCCTCATAAATGGTCAATATCTTTTTTTAAATATAATGGTATGTTTACTTCTCAGAATAAGAGTCCCCTCCATGGGATCAAATGGCTGAGGGTCGTGCTGGACGAAGGACACGTCGTACGAAACCCTAATGCACAGATGAGTAAGGCTGTGCTCGACCTGAAAGCTCAGCGGCGCTGGGTTCTGTCAGGTATACTTATAACGCACACGCAAAGACAGTCCAAAGTATGAAAACACAATCTGTGAGCTCAATTATTAGTGCTCCTGTCTTCGCTCCACACAATTATGTCAAGTCAGTGAGACATTATCACAGTACTTAATCGTCTCCACCACAAATACTGATTATTTCAACGACTTAACAAAGGGCAAACAAATTTAACAGCGTCAATAATAAGGGAATAACCAAATATTTACGTGTGTGTGTGTTAATTATGCCCTCCCAACAGGTACTCCTATCCAGAACAGTGTGAAGGACCTGTGGATGCTGCTGGCCTTCCTGCGCCTGAAGCCCTTCGATACCAGAGAGTGGTGGAACAGAGTGATCCAGAGACCCGTCACTCAAGGAGACAGAGCCGGCCTGCAGTGCGTGCTCACAAATGTTAAATCACGCTGCTGCGATGTAGTAACACGTCGTCCTTCTGAGTGCAATCAGTGCATCAAGCATCTTAGTTGTGACACACCAACGATATTCCCAAAAACTCGATTTATCATGTTGTAACGGTTTGCTATTTTCTGAGGTAGCTAGATGCGCTAACAAACTCAGAACTGGAGTGGTAATCCAATATTAACGATTGATGCCGTCTATTAAAAGGAACCTACAGACCCTGGTGAAGTGCATCACCCTGCGGCGGACCAAGGGCAGCGAGGTCAACGGGCGCCCTCTGGTGTCTCTGCCTGAGAAGACCGTATGTGTGGAGCAGGTGGAGCTGAGCCAGTCGGAGAGAGAGGAGTACGAGCTGGCTCGCAACGAGGGAAGGAATACCATCGCCAGGTACATGTATGCCTGTCCTAATGGAAATTGTATATTCCTATATGTGTTTTATATTCTAAGTAAGCTGTTTTATAAGTAAGTTAACCTTGTTTAACTTGGGGATCACACGGCAGCTGACAGCGTGCACACATATCCTGTTGTTCTTGCTGCCAAACAACTAGCACTAGTATGAACACTTCATTACGGATAATTTATATATCTATCTGTTGTTAAAAGCACTTATTTTACTGCAACAACTTGAGGAATGATCATGACCACTCTCTGTAAGACTGTGTGACTTTGTTTCTGAAGTGCGCACTTCTACAGATTCGTTGTCACTCTCTAGCCTCTGTTGATAAATATCTGTTATTTGTTACAGCGATGTTAAAGTTGCTACCAGTAAACACCTGCGTATTGCTGCATCGTCCTTAAGTGTATGTGTGTTTGCGTGTGTGTGTGCGTGTGTAGATACGTGACCGAGGGGACAGTCTTGAGGAACTATGCTGACGTGTTGGCCATCCTGATGAGGCTTCGACAGCACTGCTGCCACCCTGATCTGCTGGCAAAAGCCTCCTCCGACCTGGGTAAGACCTGCAGAGGGATGTAAGGCTCATGCACTGACTGAACAGTCAGTGCATGAGCCTTGCACTGTGTGCTCAACTGCAGATGCAGTCCTTATTGCATCAATATGTTTATTTTGACATGTAAAATGTATCAAGTATTTTGCCTGTAGGCGCTGCAGCCACACCGGCGGAGATGCGGGAGCGTCTGATAGAGAAGCTGCGGCTTGTGTTGGCCAGCGGCTCTGACGAGGAGTGCTCGGTCTGTCTGGATTCGGTGCACCTGCCCGTCATTACACACTGCGCCCACGTGTACTGCCGGCCCTGCATCGCCCAGGTGATCAGCAGTGAGCAGGTAACGCGCCGCCTTTAGCAAAAACTAGTTTCTAATTGAGTTGTTGAGTTTTCCCCTCTCTCTCTCAATTGTAGAGCTGCTAATCATGAATGGACCTATGTGTTCTCTATGCTGTGTGTGTACATAGGAAGCAGCGCGCTGTCCTCTCTGTCGAAGTGAGATCAAGGCTAGTGAACTAGTGGAGTTTCCACAGGAGGAAATGGAAGAAGAGAAAAGTACAAACGCTGATAAGTGGAGGACAAGTTCAAAGGTACAGCTGCAAATACTGAGAATGCAGTTAAAATCGGTTGATTTACTCAGGAGACATTCTTATTGAGCGTTGTGGCAGTGTTAAAATTCGGCTTCATTGCAGCCCAGTTTTCCTCCCCTGAAGTGACTGTTGTTTTTCTTTCATTGCAGGTGCAGGCGCTGATGGGAAACTTGCTCAGGCTGCGATGTGAAGACGGCAGCATCAAGTCTTTGATCGTCTCACAGTTCACACGCTTCCTCACCATACTGGAGACTCCGCTCAGGTAAAACAAACATTCACAGTAGAGGTTCAGGAGGGGCTTCTTAGAGGTCTATAAATTAATTATTGCTGCTATGGTTTTATCTTTTTATCTTTAATAGAATTGATTTATTTATTCATTTATTGAATTATTTAAACTCTGTGACGTTGTCCTCTTTTCTCTTCACCAGAAAGCATGGGTTCAGTTTTGTGCGTTTAGATGGCACCATGAGCCAAAAGAAGAGGACTCGGGTCATCCAGGAGTTTCAGAGCGCTGCAGCCGACAGCCCTGCCATCATGCTTCTGTCACTCAAAGCTGGAGGGGTGGGGCTTAACTTGACTGCCGCCTCGCACGTGTTCTTCATGGACCCTGTAAGTGCAGATTTGGGCCACAAAGTGTTTTTTAACACGTTAATGAAAATAAAACATAATATTGTAGAAGCAGAGACACATAGTATAGATGGCATTGTGAACATTTTCACATCACAAGAAACCTGCTAGTGGATTCAGGGAGAAGGGAGTTCTCAACTGCGTGTCTGCTTCCTTGTGCCCGGGTTTAGGCATGGAATCCTGCTACAGAGGAACAGTGCATCGACCGCTGCCACCGTCTGGGACAGACTAGGAACGTTTTTGTCACAAAGGTCAGTAATCCATTACTAAAAGGTCTGTTTTGGGCTTTTATATCGAGGTCTGCAGTGAAAGCTAACTGGATTTTTCGTTGGTGGGAAGACATCACATGTTCCTTGGCAGGTTTACACTGCAAGACCGGTGTTTAGGTACCTGACAGTCAAAATGATTTTTAAGATCCAAGATGTTTTAATTATCTATTAGACAGAAAGCCATTATGCCATTCATAGGTAAATAACAAAAATCAGACAAACATTTTGGCATGTTTATTTATATTTGGTATGTTTTTATGGCCACAGTTCATTGTGAAAAGTTCAGTGGAGGAGAACATGGTGAAGATCCAGAGGCAGAAGCAGGACCTGGTGGAGAAGGCTTTTGGTTCCAAAAACCCGGATAGGAAAACGTCTCGTATGGAGGAGATCAAAGCGCTGATGGAGATGTAGAAGTATTGCTCCAATGTGGATACATCAGTTGCCAGAGTTCTTGTTGGGTCCAGCAGGACGGCTGCAGGAATCCTTTTGTACAGTCAATTCGCGTTTTGATACGGATTCATTGAGAGGACAAAAGACTTGGCCTTTGTTGTGATCGAGATCATAAAACGTCAAAGCTGTGCTAAAACTAATAAGGATTTAGTAGAAAATGGACAAAAAGCCCACCGGTTCTGACAGCTTGAATGGTCCATTTACAAACGAGTTAATCCGTAACAATTCCAATGTTTTCTTTTTTATTTTGTGGTCTCTGGATTGAAGAAATTCTATTGTAAACAAGCACCTTTCAGAACTCATCTGTTTACTAAATCCAAACTAGCATTTTCTGTTTTAATGTTACAAGTCTGATGGACGTTTTTGCTTTGTCACAATTAATTGATTTGATGAATCAATATTTCATAGAAAATAAACTACAAAAGTGATGGATAACGGGTTGTTCTTCATCAGTTCTTTTATTAGCACTTCTACAGGGATGTACAGTTAACAGGTGACAGGACCGATCTAAAGTAACTGATCTTCCACACTCATGCATATTCAGGGTCAAGCTGGCTGGAAAGATCACAAAAAAAAAAACACATCCTTTCTCTCGACCTTTCCAGCTCCGTATTGGAGTGTGCTTTCATTCTTAGCTATAAATTATACTTCTAACAGCTGGAGTTAAGTAAAGGAGGCGTCAGTAACAAAAGGAGGGACGTGTTGTGCTACGAGCAGCGGTTACAGTAAGTGGGGTTCTGTAAACAGTGAGCGGCAATAAGGCAGCTGGTAACCCAACGGAAAGGAAGTGACGTCAGAGACGTACCGACGTGCGTCTGGGAGGGACGTTGCATAACATGCAGGTACAGATGCCTGGAGCGCACAAATCCCACCAATACACACAAGACAACCAACAGCGCCTCAGGATGTGGGTGGAAGTACTTCATTAGTGACCAACTTTTTTTTTTTGCCAGACAAACATAACCAGCCTGTGTCTCTGAGACCAGAAATGACACAAATGAACTCAGACAGGGGAGCCTTCTAAAGGGAGATCGACACACCTGGCAGGGACTATGAGAGGGAGATGAGCCAGTGCCGCAGATCTGCTTTGAAGTAGTTTAAATACTTATTGCAAGAAGGGAGTTGTGCCAAAATCCAAAAACAACTTTTAAACTTAATGATTTTTATCTGTTTTTGTTGCTGGAAGTTTCCACAGTTAGATTCACAGTCCTGAGTCTTCCTATTGCCATCAAATGCACAAGAACACTAAGACCGAGTCTGACAATTTGGGAGTACACTTTGCTTGGGATCTGATGAGATTGTATGTGTTAAACATTGTCATGTTACCCGTTTGGCATTCATGGACAGGGACCGTGACATTAGATAATGGTTGAATTTACACAAACGTTTACGGTCTGTGGGTATTTATGAAATGTCTGCTGGGTCAAAACATTCTTTGAACCAACACTACATCCTTTAAGCAACCTGTTTAGCAGCGGACGGGAAGAGCATCCACTCATCGTTATCTTTAACCGCTTAGCCAAAAGAAGAGCAGTCGGTGTATATATAGAATTTTCCATGGCAGATCTTATCTTTCAGGAGAGATATAAACATCTGTAGGATTGGGATTTTTTTTTGTCTTGAGGTCACAAACTGAGTGAGACGTCTTAATGCTAAGCTAACTAGCTGCTGAGCGAGAAAGTTAAAGTGTATTTCCTTAAATATCAAACTCATCCTTTGAGGGGGAGAATTGAAGGGTGGGAGTGCGTGGGAACTGTGTCAACCCCCCCCCCCCTCTCTCCCCCCTCTCACACACAAACACGATAGAACGCAGAGAGTGAGGCTCAACGTTGCACAGAGGCCTTCGTCAAGCCCCTGTGATTGGCTGAGCAGTGCTTGAAATCTCCGCCCACACAGCGCACACTCACGCCGCCCCGCCAGCGGGCTACTTTAGGAATGAGTCAAGCTTTCGTGCGATGTTGTCGAAGGAGTCGTCCCCCATGTAGTCGATCTGGCCCGCTTCCCAGCGCAGCTTTCTCTCCTCCGATGAAACCTTCTGTGGGGGCGGAGCTAAGGGGGCCTGGTTCTCCTTCGAATCCTCGTGAAGCTTGAAGCCCTGCTTGATGGAGACGGATGATGAGTGGATCATAACATGGGACGGGAGCGACACTTTATAAGGACTGGTTTCACCACATTCAGCCACGCTCGGCCGCACGCTTTTTTCTAGACACAATCACTGCGTGCAGGGATTTCATCACGGGAGTCAAAGTACAAGCGGGACATTTTGCATCACACTTGCTGCAGATAATAGTTGAGTATATAGATTTCTAATGTAGAAGTACGCTCAATAAATCCATGCAAAAGTTTTTTTGTTTTTTTTACATCAGGTGTTTCTCGTATATTTAGTCTCAAAAGTTGAACTGATGGACACGAGCTGTCTCATACCTCACTGAGAAGTCCAGTACAGCTGCATGTACATACTTTAATATCTAATCCTGGCCAGGTTACTAATACTTGAGAGAACAAAATAGTTCTCTCAAGTATAACTGCCTCTGTGTGATGAATCCCTGGCTTCACCAAATCAACTCACTGATTACTGCCAACAATGTGCAAAACACACTTGAGTGGAGGGATTCTTTAAAGCTCAACTCCAACCTGGCATGTTGTGACCAGCAACACAAGTGCTGTATGAAGCTGTATGATTAAGTTTCCCAGCTTTCAACTTGCATAATGATGTTGCATTTAGGGCAACTGAGACTTCGGTGAAATTAGGGCAATTCAACCAGCAGTCCTTGTCCACTGTTAAGTAACCGTAATGTGTCACTTCCAGTAAAAATCATTTCAAGATTCACTTGGTAAAAAGGATTTCTTTCAAACTTCCGCCCGAGCCGGCAGAATGACTAAAATACTTGCGTAAACACGATGGCACAGCTTAAGGCAAATTTGCAGCTTTCCTTTTAGACAAAGGATTATTTCAATGCTGCCCTCTTACGACAGACAGCATGGCAACTTCCTGCTGCTCTGAGAGAAGCTATTCATGCAGTCGACAGATTGTTGCTTAAGAATGGTGAACAAATTGACACTTTCTTGACAGACAGTACTCTAAATCAAAAAAAAAAGCTTTCACCACAGTAGAATTTCCTTTTGTAATTAGTTTTAAGGACGCGACCTATTATCACACCTCTTTGCTTGTGTCTGAACATTTCCACCAGAAACAACGCGACGCACACTTTGAAGACCACAGCGGCCAAACGTACCTCCGCGCTGGCGTCGGCGAAGCCGCTGTCGAACGGAGCGTCGCCGTACGTCTGCTGCAGCAGAGGCTGCACCGACTGGGCGTACAGCCGCCACCACATGAGCAAGTAGTCGGGATGCAGGTGGCACTGGTCGGGGGACAGGCAGTGACCTTTGACCTCGCCCGTCTGAGCGTCGTAGGAGTAGTTCCATGGCTTCATCTTTCCGAGGAAATGCACCACCTTGGCGTCGCGGCCGTACCTGCGAACGGCGCAGCACATTACGGTCGGAAGGCGGGAAAGAGCGGGAGCGCGACGGAGAGTCTGCGGCGCTTGAAAAGCACTCTCGGGAAAAAAATGGAATGGAGTTCAGCCGGATGATCTAAAAACACGTCCTGTATAGGTCAGTTTGAAAATGGGTGCACCAAAACGTACAGAAGAACTATGTGAGTAACTAAGTAACGGAAGCCCGGACGATCTGAATCAAAGTCAACCCATGAAATGGTCGCAGCTTATAACCGATTACTACCCGGCTTTGTGGTACTCTGGCCTCATCGGACTGGTTTGTGGTGACACATGATTAAAAAAAATGTGTATATATATATATATATAAATAAAACGAACGCAGATTCAAATAACACAGTAAAAGAAAAGTATATCTGTGGTAACACGCCCTGCTTAGAGGCAGAACATGTGTTAAGACACACAAATGCACGACCTTTGAACTTTACGGCTCCCTACAGACAAGCATTTCACAAGGACAGCCACTGAGTCAGGGCAATAGTTCGGCTACACATGTACGTACACTGTGTGTGTGTGTGCGCGTGTGCGTGTGCGTACTGTTTGAATGCTGGCAGGTAGGAGTAGATGGCGATGCTGCTGAGGTTGTAGATGAATGGAAGGTGTTTGGAAATATCTGCCGTCGCCCAGGTGTTAAAGAAAGTGTTGAGAACCCCCTGATCTCCACCTGCAGAGACGTGAATACAAAAACATACGTTGGACATTTGTGGACATGAATTTGGGCTCAAGTAGAGCAAACAATGTGAGAGACTCTGCAAAGGAAAGCAGTGATTCAAAGACATGAAAAAAAGAAAACGTCTTTTTCCCTTCCAGTAATATTTATCATATCTGACAGCTTTTTCTGGCTGCAGTAATCCATCACACACACACACACACGATTACATACCTGCATGGTCAACACCACACATTCCAAAAAGACTGTCTTGAGTGTTGGCATTAACTCATATCTGCAGAGCTTTACGGTTGTTTTGGTCAAGAAAAAAAGAATATTGACCTTGCTTTGTTTCTTACTGTTCTTGAAAAATAAAAAAGAGGCCATAAAGATTCGGGTCTTACCATCAAAGCTGCCGTTCTCACTGCAGAACGCGAGCAGCTTCTCGTGCGTCTCATTGGACGGTCTGAAGACGAACACGCCGGAGTTGAAACAGTCCGGCCAACCAGGATCCGGCGCGGCAGACAGTTCCTCTCGCTCAAAGAGTTCATCTATATTCGACAGCACCTGAATACATCAACGCAAGTGTTACTCGCCGGTATATTAGCACAGTTAGACGGTCTCCTTGCCGCTTGTCTCACCAGTGCGTCGGCGTCCATGAACACGCACTTGCTGTATTGCGTGAGACTCCAGCAGTGCAGCTTGGTGAATGTCACTCCCAGGTCCGGGCGCTTCATCAGAGACAGATGAGCTGCATCGCCCGAGTCCATAACGTCCACCACCAGCACCTCATCGAAGATGGAGCGAAGGGCGTCTCTACAACGCAGAGAGCAGGATGTGCGTCAGTCAGTGCGTGTGTGTGTGTGTGTGTGTGTGCGTTTGCTGCATATTGATCATCGACTATTTTTACCTGCAGGGTTCAGCAACGTGAGGTCCCACGAGCACGACCAGTTTCCTTGTGGTTCTGTGGTTCAGCAACGACTGGCCGAGAACCATCGCTCCCTTGGCGTAGCTGTCATTTGTGGCAAGTGTCACGAAAGCTTCGTCTGCTGGGAGAAACACACGAAAGTGGTTGCTGGCATCACGTAGGGGGGACAAATCGGAGTTTGTCCCCAAAAACGTTGGTTATAAAAATGCATTTTATTAGCACTCTGAAAAAAGGTGTTGAAAATAGAGTAAGTAAGAAACTGGAGTAATCTGTAAAATATAAGATGGGCTGAAAATGTGTGCAATGCCTCACAGCCAATAAATAACACAAAGTTATTTAGAATGTGGAAAAAGCATCATACCCAATAAATGAGAGTGAAACACTTATTGTCCTCTTAAGGCAATAAGATATAAATACAGAAACTAAATGTTCACACGTAGCTCAAATTAGAACAACAAACTATACTTTCCAAACTAACCCTTGTCTCAATCGTTTTTCCTCTACACAATAAACCATCACATCCTGCGTCCCGTCTCGCCCTCGGTGTGTGAAACCCACTACAACCTGTCCGGTTTGTCTACGAGCCGCTTGTGTGAAGCTCGGAGTCTGCTGGCTCCCCCGAGGACACGTCAGGACAACCACACTGTGTTGACCGCATTTCTGCCCGAGAGAGAGTTGGCCCGGAGCCAGCAGATAGTATTCATCCAGCTGAATGTGTGCGTTGTTTGGGGGATTCTGTGGAGCCTCATCAGAGAGGCAGCGGGTGAGGGGGGTTGGGGGTTTGGTTGCCGGGGGCTGCTCCGAGGAACTTTAAACTTGCACTGAAGAGTGTTTGGCCCGTCTCGCCTGTGCGAGCATACAGGAAGTATGTGCTGGGTTCCCACAGAGATATCTGAAGCCTCATTAAGCCACACCACCTCTTTCTACACGTTTCATGACACTTAGTCACGAGCGAAAGCGCTTTTGAAATGTAACCTGGCACAAGTACATCAGTTTTAAGTACATTTATGATGAATAATATATGCAAAAACATGTATACATAGACTAGAGAATATTCTTATGTCAAATGTGTAGGACACCACAAATGTATTGTTCAAAGCCAATAAAATGAGTAGCGGTTGCACGTAAAGGTCTATATGCTGCAGGCCGTAGAAAAAACAAAAACTTTAAGGCCTCACACTGAGTTGCACGTCCGCAATGTCGAGTTAGTCAATTTCGATAAATTTACGCAGGAAGTTATTAGTGTCTACTTTAAACAAAAATAAAAGTATACATAAGCCCTTGAACAAAGTTTAATGAAATTAAAATACTATAAAATACTTTTCATATTGAATCGCTTGGTCTGGTAAATTGTGAAGGGGGACTTTTGTACTTTCCTATACAAAAGGTATTTGAATTTATTTTTCCGCCAACAGTGAAACCAGAAAACACATTTGACTAGTTATTGCTTGGCACTTTTATTTGAAATAATGACTTAAAAGCTATCAAATTCGCAGATTTATTTTACGACTATAGTTCCAATTAGCTAAACGTTTAAAGTTCGGTTTTGGTAAATAAAATATCAAATTAAACAACCGTGATAAAATTCTTCAATGAAGATTTAATTTGATGGCTCTTTCGACAAAGAGGCCTCAAGACTCTGTGAATTCAGATGGCAAACTTCAAAGACACACAAAAGTGTGTACATGTGTGTACCAAACTAATGTACAAAACATATGTACAATGGACTAATAGTCATAAAACAACATCCACCAATATTATCTTATTATTATGGATAGTGAAGTCAAAAATGGCAAAAAAAAGAATTTAATATACATTATTCTTTAGGAAATGTAGCATTTGTCTTTGAAACTCTCCTTCGGTTGGATTCAAACGTTGACTTTGAAGATTAGTAACCGGATGTTCTCCTTGTGATCATCAACAGCTTTACTTTGATTCCAACCGCGGCATCTTTTACCGAATCAGAACGCACATAACCGACAACCTTGAAACGGCCACAAATCGCTTCGCCTCACTGACGTCTGCGAGCGTCGCAGCGGACGTTTTTCTGCAGCGTTTATCAACATATTCTCGGTATTTCGACGGAAGACGGCAGGTCGCGGCGCCCCGGTCCCCCCCGGTACTCGGTGGCCGCGTTCCGGTGTGAGTTCCGCGGGGCTTCTTACCCGACATGGTGCGGCGAGGGGAGTCCACCTGCGGCGCGGGGGTCGTGACGTGTCGGGCGGAGGGTTTGCACTGCGCAGCGCAGAGGTTCAGCAGCTGAGAGCAATCCAACGCAGGAATTAAGCCCGACATGTTCCGGGTCACGTGACCAGTGACAGGGCACACGCCCCCCTCGCGTGGACCCTTTAAATGGCGCAGTGATGAAAACAATTTATAGGTCGTGTAAGCTTCATATAGTGTGCATTGAATACAGAATCGGCACAACAACTGGCCCAATCATAGCTGTGAGATGAATGTACTGGAATAAAATGTACAAAAAAAGCGATGTTTGATTTTAATCTGCATTTTTTTTAAATAATTGTATTTCTAACATTCAAGTGTTCAGAAAACACTGAACATAATATTTGCCCTGCTTCAGTTTAAGAAGAAGGCTGTATGGCGACGTGCTGCAGGATGACCATCTAGCCTGTACGAGTCTTTAAAGAGGAACCGGTTGAGCTTTACTTCATCAGCACTGCCTCTGTGTGGTGGAGGCTCCGCATGACAGCTAAATGACAGTAAATGACACAAGACAGTACATTCTTTATCGAGGTAGATAAATAATCTACAGCTCGACGGTGGGAGAGGGGAAGCTAGATGGCGGCACACTTAGGCTTAATAAGACATAATAAGACTCCAAGCATGCAAGGTTGTAGAGATACAAACAGAAGAGTCTGTGGCACACTGAGGATTGGAGAGGCTCAGGAAGAGATAGTGTAGGGAAACTAGCAGTGGGACACAGGTCTCAGGAGTGTGTGTGTGTGTGTGTGTGTGTGTGTGTGTGTGTGTGTGTGTGTGTGTGTGTGTGTGTGTGTGTGTGTGTGGGCGCTAGGAGACAGAAAGGGGGGGGCAGCGAGATAGGGTCAACCGACCAGATGATGCGTCTATGCCAGCAATCCTTTACGCTATAAACTCCAAAATGGAATTCACATTTACTATCGCAAAATCTCTACGATCGGTGCAAGAGAAGAAATATGTGCAGCATTATTGTGTGCATGCACGCTTGTGTGGTTTTCAGCCCATTCTCCCTCCTGTGCGTGTGACCAGGTCCCAGTCAATAATGCAGGGAGCTTAAGAGGAACTCTTAAGGCCGGCAGTTACATTTTTGACTCCACCAGCTAAAGCTGTTGCTGCTGCATCAACGACTGCATTGGTGATGAGCGGGTAACCGGAGCGCACCTCTGAGTCGCCCCGTGGAATCGGCCTGATCAAATGTCTGAGGAAGAGAGGCCTGAGGGGGAGATAGAAAGATGGAGTCTCTGCGGATTTAGAGGCAAAAACATAGACTGTAACGGTTCGTGGTGAATGGGTGCAGACATGTCTTCAGCGCGTTTGCCCGATCCACCGTCTCGTGTCTTGGTTTCGGCTGCTCTTGGGACTGTGTGTGCTTCTTCCAGTGGAGGAGGAAGTGACAGGAGAGGTTGACAGGTGCGAACGAGGAGAAAAGGAAGGGAGGCAAAGTGGAAGAGCGGAGTAAAAGAGAGGGGCCCCAAACCGTGCAGCAAGCTGAGTTTCTGCCTTGGACTGGACTCTAAGCCCCGCAGCGTGTCCCGGACTCAATGTAAGCTCCTTACTGCCACGGTTCCTTACATTACAGTGGCACTTTTCTACAATACAGAGCAACAACATTAACAATGTCTGATCTGCTGTTTTTTATTCAGGACGAAGAGAGACAAGTGGCAGTGTTGCTGTGTTGTTGTGCAGCTTAATCTGCAGTGTGTCTGTGGGCTTCAGGTTACAAGGCTTTGCGTGGCAAGATATGCAGGCAAACTGAGACCTCAAGTTTTAAACATGTTTGACTGTAATCTCAAAGAATATGCGGCTGTATTCAACGAATGGAGTTTATCTAAGTCTAAGTGCAAGAAAGCGCGTGTATGTGGCAAACATATTGTAAAAATATACCTTGCCTGTGTTTTTATTTATTGTGTTTGGTATCTTTTTTACCCTCTGTTCCTGCTGCGAAACAAACACGTTCTCGTGTTACCCTTTTCATGCTTTCTAGGCTCATTGCAGTTGAATAGTTTAAATGCAACCTGATTTTCCCGGAGGAGACAAACAGGTGAAAATGTTAATATGCTGACACAGCTGAGGTGTTAACTGTTAACTGTCCACGCCTGTCACAGGGTCCAGAGAGGCCAAAGGTCCACTCCGCCGTGCCTCTCCTCAGTGGCTCCTCCTAGGAGAGATAATACGCTCTCGAACCTCTCCGGGATCCAGCTTCCGCTCTGCCCGAAGCCCCGCAGAGCTCTGCAGGACTCGACCCCGACTGCGGCCAGTTCAGCGGGACCTTCAACCAGAAGACAGGATTACTAACAGGAAACTCTTATGAAGGTACTTGTCTCTGTCTTGGGGTTACTCTGTCTCATACTTATACCATTATACTTCACGGTAGCCTGCTACTACCTTCGTGGGTTTATAAAAAACCATAAATCTTGCCTGTGTGGGTGAAAGTCGTAAAGAGGAATGTCGGTGAGAGGCTTCGCTGGGAACGATTCAAGAAAACAACCTGACTAATTCTTCTATGTTTATTCCACCTTTATAGTTAAACGCAGCTTTTGTTAGTTCTAGTTCTGAGGCAAAATCAAAAAGCTCCTTCTTTTGGTCCTTCTTGGGGTGTGATCCAGAACTCTGTGTGTGTGTGTGTGTGTGTGTGTGTGTGTGTGTGTGTGTGTGTGTGTGTGTGTGTGTGTGTGTGTGTGTGTGTGTGTGTGTGTGTGTGTGTGTTTCAGGTAAAATAAAGCAAAAGCTACTATGGAGAATCACATCACGCAGATTTCCAGAGATGATCTGGACGATCTGAGGGACGCCTTCAATAAAATTGGTCAGTTTCATACTCATGCACACTTGACTTGACCCAACGATTATGTTGAAAGGAATACTGGTTGTAGGACATTTACAGCTGACAATAAAACACGACTCTTATGCAAGATTTTATTGCTTAGTTTGATCGGTATTTGTACTTTGTTTTTAAAGCATTTGCAGATGTAATAATGAGGCGTGGCCAGATTTTATCAGTATTATCGTGACTACATGATTGCCAAAAAATGCTGATAATAGTGAGAGCCAGGAAAAGGAATATCACATTCCTTTATGGTTTTAAGTTTAAAGGCACAACAGATAAAACAAGTCATGACGGTTACACAGATTTAAACTGTTTTCATGACCTGACATGTAACTGTATAGTCAAGTCAAGTCCTCAAAAGAAATGTAGTCCTCAGTTGAAATAATTTAATTAATTAATTCCAATTTTGTGTGCAAGCTGCTGTGAAATCAGTTGTTGTTCTTTACCAAGCATGTTGATGCAGATATAAAAACTGGAGTTTGTCTCATTTTGGGGAATCACCAGCCAAAAACCCTGTTCAGTGGACAACAGTTAGCTGAAGGCAACCGTACAATTTGATATGAACAACGTTCAATGCACAAATATTTAATATATTTAATAAATATATCCTTCCTTTAATTACTTTCACTTTAAACGCTTAATGAACTAAACTATTAGGAAACTTATTAAAGTATTACCTGTCCATTATTTGTCCTTGCCTTTATTATATGTGTGTTTTATTTCTAAATAAATATTATGCTCATGATTTTAAGATGAATATTTGTACAGCAAATTGTCTTATTACATACACTTGTGTGTGCGTTCTTCTCTGTATCTATTTGTGTTCAGATGTTGATAACAGCGGCTTCGTGAGCGACTTTGAGCTGCAGGAGCTGTTCAGAGAGGCGAGCTTCAGCATACCGGGCTACAAAGTGCGAGAGATTGTCGAGATCTTCATCGCTGGAGACACCAACAAGGACGAGAAGATCAGCTTTGAGGAATTTGTTTCTGTAAGTTTAAATGCGGTTTGTGAGCAAAGAAATTGAACTTATTCGTCAGACATCTTGCGTGGAGTAACGCCGCCTGTCCGTGTTCAGATCTTTCAAGAACTTAAAAGCAAGGAGCTCAGTGAGACCTTTAGGAAAAGTGTCAAGAGGAGAGATGGGATCCGTTCTTTCGGAGGAACATCAGGAAACTCCAGCGAGGGAACGCAGCACTCCTACTCTGGTGTGAGAGAGTATGCGTTGTGTGTGTGGTTGGTTGTGTGCGTGTGCATCTTGCTTTACGTTGCTCTTCCTCATCGTGATCTCAAGTGTGGCTCACTGTGAACATATCATGTGTGTGTAGATGAGGAGAAGGTGGCATTTGTCAACTGGATCAACAAAGCCCTGGCAAAAGACAAGGACTGCCAACACCTGCTGCCCATGAACCCCGACGACGAAAGTCTCTTCACCTCTGTGCGCGATGGCATCCTCTTATGGTAACACAAAAGGACAAATCTGAGATTACGCACATCTGAAATGAATTGAGGCAAGTTGCTTCCTCACTCACACGCCTTGTTCTTCGTCAGCAAAATGATCAACCATTCTCAGCCTGACACGATTGACGAAAGAGTCATCAACACTAAGAAACTTGCCACTTTCACAATGACGGTGAGTAGTAACTCTATAACGCTTGATACTAAGGGCTGTGTTGTGCTTTGTGTTCTTCCGGAGAGTTTATTGACAAGCTCAATAGTTAGTAACCTTTCTCATTGAATCCAGTAAGCTTAGTTCGGTGTAAAAAAAACCATCTTCTGTACAAGGGTGACAATTACCAGAATTTGTTGACTACTTACTGTCAAGCAGTGACGGCTCCAGAAGAAGAAGAGAAGAAGACAATGTATCGAGACAATAGACGGGTCTTTCAGCAATGTTGCAATGTGGAATTCCATCTTGTAATATATTAACTTCTTATATTTTCTTTATTATATCTGTTCTCCGTGGAAAAGAACAGTCACATATTTACCTTTTTTTATAACTTGATGATGTGTAATAAGTTAGTTATTATTTGAAGGATTTGGGCCAGAGCCTTTTGTTTTGCTGAGTTGTCAACACCATTTCTGGTGACTTGAAAACGAAAACGTTGATACAATTTATTTGTAGGAGAATCTGGTTTTGGCTCTGAACTCAGCTTCGGCCATCGGTTGCACGGTGGTGAGTATCGACGCCCATGATCTGATGGCTGGGAAACCCCATCTGGTCCTTGGCCTGCTCTGGCAGGTTATCAAGGTCGGCCTCTTTGCCGATATAGAAATGAAGAACGAAGGTCAGTTCACGCGCACGAAAGCACACGTAGTATATCACAAAAAAAAAACAATAACACTAATTGCATGTGTGTTTTCAGGTCTGATTGGCCTTCTGACGGATGAGGAGAATATGGACGAGCTGATGTCTCTCTCCCCTGAGGAGCTGCTGCTCCGCTGGGTCAACCGCCATCTACGCAACGCAGGGACGAACACCATCAGCAACTTCAGCGAAGATATTAAGGTCCTCTTCAGAATACGTGCACAGATACACACACACATTTACAGGAAGAAAGGTGCGTAACCCCTTGCTGTACTGTTCCGTTGTAGGACTCGCGAGCATACTTCCACCTGCTGGAACAGATCGCTCTCCAAGAAAAGCAAGAACACAAATTGAGAGTAAAGATTGACATGAGCGGCCTTAGTGTGAGTCACTTTGTTTTATAATCACCAAGAAAAGCTGATAATTGGAACATGTAAAATATTTATGTTCTATTTTACTACAGATGTAAGTTACATGAAACACAGCTACAATCCAATTGGATTCGAGGATAATGTTGTACGGACCGTCATGCACCTCTGTCTGTTTTATGTGAAGGTGCGGGATTTGGACCAAAGGGCCGAGCTGATGCTGCAGCAGGCGGCCCGCCTGGACTGTAGACAGTTTGTGTCTCCTCATGACGTCACATCTGGGAACAGCAAACTCAACATGGCTTTTGTGGCCAACCTGTACAACATGCATCATGGTGCTCTGAAGCAGATCAATGGCGGCAGCAGCATAGGAACCATAGAGCGTGAGAAACCAACTTTGTTTTATTACTATCACGCTGCATCGTACCACGGTTTTGTGGCGGCTTATTGCTTTTTAATTAACCCTAATCTAAAATTCAGTCATAAAACACGGTGCACACTCATGCCAAGTTGCAAACAATATGCACGTATATGCATGTGCATGTGCAGAATACTGTAAAGAAATACCCACAGGCCATGAACCCAATAAAAATTCCTCATAAGTTAATATTTCATTGTTAGATATGGCAGCCATAAACCATACATATCTTGCATAAGCTACAGCTGAACTTATAACATTCTTACAAGGTGACAGTAACTGTGGACATCATTAATGTCTTCATGTCTTTCCAGCTGAAACCAATGAAGAGAAAACATTTAGAAACTGGATGAACTCTCTGGGCGTCTCTCCACATGTCAACCACCTGTACTGGTATGTTAACAGTTACACATTCATATGGGCTTCCCCAGTAAAACCAGAAATGACTGTAGGTGGGCCAGCAGGGTATTTGTCATTGGGCCTCTAGGAAACAGAGAACAACTAACATTTACAAATCGGCCTTTACTTAAGTTACCTTGTATTTATTTTACTAACATATTCTCTGGTGCTTTTAAACTCTGAGTATGTTAATTATTTTATTTGCTCTTAGGCACTTTTAAGTTTCCATTTAAATAAAATGTCGTATTATTGTTATTAGCACAGTAAAAAGTTTTATGGTAGCAGACTGGTACCTTGCTCAAAGGTTATGAAATATTAACTGAAATATTAATGCATTACTTTCTGCATACACACATTTTCCCAGCCTGATTATCAATTTACATATGTCATAAATTGTTGTCTTACATTTCTTCTCATCTATTTAATTCAATGATTGATTTTTTATTTGCTAACTAAAAAGCTAACTGCTGCAGAACAGATACCATATATACCTCACTGTCCTTTGTGTATTGACTTAAGGGACCTGTGTGATGGTTTGATCATCATGCAGCTTTATGAGAAGGTCAATGTGCCTGTGGACTGGAAGAAAGTCAACAACCCACCGTATCCTGTTCTGGGGGCCAATATGAAGAAGGTATCCGCATTAAAGAAATAGAAAAACATCTTAACGGTAAAATAAAAGGAAAGTAATATTGTATTTCCTCTCGCGTCTCAGCTGGAGAACTGCAATTATGCAGTGAAGCTGGGCAGGGACGTAGCTCACTTCTCTCTCGTCGGCATCGGAGGGGAAAACCTGAACGAGGGGAGCCGAATGCACACCCTGGCGCTGGTCTGGCAGCTGATGAGGAGGTACGTGCACATGCAGCAAATGCGGTAGTTTGGCTGGACGATGGTCTCTTTGTACCAGATTGAGTACCCTGCTTGTCACCCTCCAGGTACACCGTGTCGGTTCTGTCCGATCAGGGTCAAGGCGGCGAGAAAGTCGAAGATCAGGTCATCCTTGACTGGGTCAACAAAACCTTGAGCCAAAAACGGAAGGACACACAGATTAGCAGCTTCAAGGTGTGTGTGTGTGTGTCTTTCTGTGTGTGAATACACGGTGTATGTGAGTGAAACGCATTTGCATTTGAAAACGTTTCCATGTTCCTGCAGGACAAACTGATCAGCACCAGTCTGCCGGTGATTGACCTGATTGACGCCATCGCCCCCGGTACCGTCAAGTGGGACATGGTGAAGAGGGCACAGAGGGGAGTGCTGAAGGAAGCCGATAAACTGAACAACGCAAAGTAAAGAGACAAAATCTTAACCGTTTTTTGGGGCCCCATCCCTGCACCTTTGTATTTGTCACTAGATCATCGTCTCGTCCCTCTTTCTGTTTTATCCCCCAGGTACGCGATCTCACTGGCCCGTAAGATCGGTGCCCGTGTCTACGCGCAGCCGGAGGATTTGGTGAAAGTGAACCCCAAGATGGTGATGACGCTGTTTGCCTCCCTCATGGGCCACGGTTTGAAAAAGGCCAGGCGCTGAAACAGACGGGGCCGAGCCACCTGGAGACCAACAACCCGCACACATTTTATTTCTGTGGTCTTTTTCTTTTCCTTTCCCCACATGATTTTCTCATCTAAACTTTCTGTGATCAGAGCAAGACGCTGTGTTATTCTCAGTTTCTCTTTGCGAACAACGAGCTTACCTAAAGTTGGAAATAATTGTTCATCAGCATTTGCATTTGTTTGTTGTCTGTAATCTTATAGAACAAGCTCTGAATACTTCTTTCTGTAACATATTTGATGTTGAATTATTTCGTTTACTGCTATGCAAAAAGAAAAGGAGATACTGCAGAAGCAAAAAGTGGAATCATATACACACTGTGTACCTGTAAATGTTGTGCATTGAATATTGCTATTTAATTATTAAAGATAATCTATTAAATTTAATGGACAACCTTGTGTTTGTTGTGTCTGCTTAAATAAAGAAGAACATCATTATACTCCTGTGGATTAAGAGACACTGAGCTACCTTTTAGGACAACATGAAGGGGAGCGTTGGATATATTGGATAGTGAAAAGGGAATTATGTTCTAAAGGGCACAAATCACTCCTCTTTGTTGTCTGGATCAGTATATCTGCAGAACAAACAAACACATCGTGAGCAAAAAATGGCCTATATGGTGATGTAAAGTGTACTATTTTGAGTTAATGTACTTTACTTGATTTTTTCCGCCTTCTTCGATATATGTTCACTACACTGGATTTACCAACTGCAACAAAAAGTTGACTGCCTCACTGACATTAAATTATGGGTACAAATCAATTTTCTCAAACTCAACTGTGATAAATCCGACATGATCCTCATTGGTCCAAATTCTCTCACCAAAACAAACACACAACTCTACTCTGTCCCCCTCACAACACATCCTGCAACCTCAGAGTCATCTTTGACAGCAACCTCTCCTTCGAGCACCGCGTCAAACAAATCACTAGAGCTGCCTTTTTCCACCTAAAAAACATATCCGCCCATCACTTCACATCTGCTGCAGAAAGTTTTCTGCAAAGTGACTTTGAGCATTTGGAAAAGCGATATTCAAATGAAATGCACTATTATTATTATTGTTAAAATAAAATAAATAAATAAGCAATCGCTATCAATGAGAGAATATTACCTGAATATGACCGTTCTGTAGTGAATACCGTTTCCTCTCCATAAGTAAAGGTTCTGTGTATCTTCAACGCCTGTATGTTTACATATTCTATTCACTCTACAAGGGAAGCAGTTTTGCACTTGGAGAGCAAATGCGGAGGAATTGACCCCCGACGGCTTCCGTACCAAAACACACGACCCGTTTTTGGAGCGAAAGTTTTCGAAACACCTGACAGGATGCACAGCTCACGTAACGGCAGCAGCGTCACGTCGCCGCATTTATACAACATTGTTTAGGCAGCAACACACCGAGCGACTGTAACAATGGAAGGACTGGAGATGTCTGCGATGATACCGGCTCTCCAGGAGCTAGCGAGGTGAGTGACAGGAGTGAGCTAAGCTAACCGGCTACAAGCACGTCGCTAAGACCTGCGATGGAACCGAGTTGCGAGGCCACGTGGTGCCGTTGATGTTGTGTTTTAGGGACACAAAGCTCCACTTTATAACTTCATAACGCATCGCTTGTGTCGGTGTCCGCAGCGCCTGCGCGGCTGAGTACGACCAGGCGGTGCAGAAACCGCGACAGATCCTCTGTCAGTTCATCGACAGGATCCTGACGGATGTGGATGCTGGTGAGTCTTTGGAGAAGTGTCCCCCACGCACAGTGATGGAAACACACCTGACACTCATTAATGCGGGTGTTATTGTCTTTGTGTTGCATGTTACTGCTTCTAGGACTTTTCAAATTGGGTCATAACTCAGTTGTATGCTGTTACCACTTAGTATATATGCGACTTTATAATTTCTTTTTAGTTACCAAAGTTGTTTTGTATCCTAATCCCGACCAATCAGAGCTGTTTGGTTTGTTTGTCTGTTGTGTGTGTTTGTTTGTTTTTTTGGCCTGTGCTCTCTCCGAGAAGCCGGCCTCTATATTTGGCAATGAAAGAGGAAACAAAATAAAATGCAGCATTTCACACAAAAAAAGTTCCATTACTGTAGCGTCAGTATGAGCTCCTGGCTCCTGGTCACCATCTCACTCAGATTGATGGTGTGTCGGGTCGGAGGACCTTCTTGTTTCCCAGGTTGTGAACCAGTTTTTTTTCATCCATCTGTGTTCCTCCAGTCGCTCTAGGGCTGAATAAGAAGTCCAGTTCGGAGCCGGCCTGTGTGATGCTGCTGGACTTTGTGCAACATATAATCAAATCCTCGTCGCTGATGTTCGCCAACCCTGCCTGCCAGCCCGCCCAGTACCCGGACGCCACGCAGAGCTGTGCTGGTACGCGATGCTCTCCAAACATTTGCACATGTCGAAACCGTTTTCCGTATGTATTATTTATGCGTATGTATGTCCCCTTTTTTCTCCCTGGATCTAGACTTCAGTAAGTGGGTCGCTGTCCGTTTGCTTCGCGTGGCGGCCGCCCCGGACTGTGACGTCGTCCACGGGCGGGTCGCCGCTGTGCTGTGCTCTTTGCTTCACACTCTGAGAGCCAGGGCCTCGTTCATCTTCAGCCTCCTCGTTCAGGAGCTGATTCATTTGGCCCGGGACCTCAGCGGCATCCTGCACACCCATGTTACCACGCTGGCAGGAAGTGGACACACTTTGGACATCCGACCATCGACCCGGTGGCCCGCGCCTCTCGAGCGTTTCATTATCTCCCGCCGCTGCGCCTTCTCGTACCTCACCCCGTCTCCGCTCGTCCTCTCCTCGCCGGCCGACCTGGAGTCGCTGAGCGCCGTGACGATCGGCGTCGTCACCGACGCGCTGCGGGGAGTCGTCTCCCGTCGGGACGTCAGCGCGGCCTGGGAGACGGCGTGCTCCTTCCTGGCCAATGGCAACAGCAGGTTGAGGAAGCGCTCCATGGCGATGCTGAGCAGACTCGTGGAGCTGGGAGGCTTCCCCGAGACGCAGGGCCACGAGTTCTTCGCAGCCTACCTTCACCTGCTGGGAACGCACGCCTACGCGCGCACTACGGACGCGAACGTGGATGAGAAACAGCCGTACGACGGAGAGCTGCTGCGCCTGACCCGCTGCGTGTTCCAGTCGTCCGGTGTCTCTCACTTTGAGCCCGTCCACCTCTCGCAGATGTTCGAGTGCGTCTGCGCCCTCGGAGGCTCCGACGTCAAACTGGGCTCTGAGGTCACCGAATCCCTCTGCCTGCTGTTCAGCTTCTTGCTGTCGGTGGCCGCGATTTATGAAAGCGCCGCCTTGTTAAGGAGGCAGCGAGTCACAGAGGTCTGCAGGACGCTGGCACGCACCGTTGGAACAGAAGCTCAGGCTGAAGTAAGATTCTGTTCATTGTTTCTCTCTCTCGTTGTCTTATCGCCCCCATTACATGTATCCGTGCCGCTCGTGCTTCACAGTGCGCCGAGGGGTTTCTTCAAGCCGCACTGAGGGCTGAGACCGCTGTGGTGATGCAGAAGTCTGGAGATGGAGAGACCGCTGCAAAGAGACCCTGCAACTCTGCCACCAAGTCGGTCAGCAAAACAACAAAAACAGCAGCTGAGTAAGTTCATAAACATTCACAGCTGTTCATTTCTCCTTTCACTGTTGTCACGAATATGTGTTTAAACTACTGTACTGAACAGTTACTTTCTTCCTTTCTTTCATTCAAGTATTTGTTTTCGTTGACAGTAGATCAATTCAGACATCACCCCTTAATAATTGATCTTGTTTCTCGGTGTCTTAAGCGAGGTGGACATGCGCGTTGGCAGCGAGGTTTGGGCTGTGGCGAACACTCGTCTGGAGGAACTGCTGACTTTTTTGAACTCCGACGGCCCGGAAACCCAACGGACTCTGTGTGCTCTGGAGGGTCTGGCCCTCGTCCTCCACCTGGCAGCTCGGTGCTCCTCTCCCACCAGGTAGCTCACGGGCATTTATGGCCGCTGTCACTGAAGTTCTATATATAATCTCTTATATATCCAATACATTACTATGTAACTTGGGTAATAACTATCGGGTGTTTTTGTTGCTTCTCTATCTCGTTGTTGACAGACCGTCTCCTCTTCTCTGGGTGCCCACTGAGACTTTGGGAAGGGCGCTGAAGAGCTGCCAGTCAGTTTTAGAAGGAGGTCCTGTTCCCGACTCAAACCGCGGCTACTTTCACTCTGCTTTAGGGACCACAGTTAGAGTCCTGGACTCCATCCTCTACCTGAACAGTAAGCGTATAAATCCTCTCGCTCGTGTGTCGTTTCTCTACTATTGCTCGTCACCTTCAAAGAATCTTATTTTTACCATCATCCTCTACGAATGACAGTACAAAGCACAGGCTTATTTGTCCGGCATCTGTTTTCATCTGTGCGTGTGTTGTTTTGTGTGTGCGTGTGTTTGTGTAGTAAACAGCGACGGCGAGGACGGGCTCCAGCGGCGTGTGTGTGCTCTGCTGTCTCTTCCGTGGGTGTGTGAGAGCAAGTCCGTCTCAGCCTTCAAGGGTTCAGGATTCCCCGCCTGGCTGCCCGCCTTGGCTAAAAGACTCGGCTTCTGTTACTGTGAGGGTTTTATTCTGCATAAAACATCTCAGCAGAATGGGATTTGTGAGATTGCTGAACATGTCGACGACTCTTTGTTAATTGCTATGATTTTACCAGGCCGTTTCCGCTCTGACAATTTGAAGTAACGTCGGACTTATTTGCGTCTTTCCAGCGCCGGAGTTCCGGGCCGAGTGCGTGTCGCTGCTGGCCCTTCAGCGCCGCGGCGTGTGCGAGACGTGGCGCGTGTGCGTGTTCTCCAAGACGTTGCTGTGCCAAGACGAGGCGGTGAGAGCGGCGGCGGTCAAGGCCTTCCCTCTTCTGCTTCACCACCTTGGAAACTCTCACCACAACCTCATCGCCACTTCCCTGCTGTACGCACACTTACAAGTACCAACGATCGGCAAAACAATGTTTGCTTAAGTGGAATTGTTTTGGCATTCCGTTGTTATTTGGTTCCCCGTGATGTTCACGCTGTGCATTCCTACCGTTTGCAGTCCCAGGATGGAGGACGGCTCGGAGCGGGTGAAGAAGGAGCTTGCCAGGATAGTCGGTCAGCTGAGCTGCATCCAATCGGAGGTCTCCCAGCTCAGCGCCAGCCACACAGTGTCCGCTCGCACTCCTGAGATCCTCTGCCACCGGCTCAGCCTTGCAGCGGAGCATTCTGGGAAGACTTTTCCTTCCCTCGGGGCGACTGTTGTCAGACCCTTCCTGCCGCTGCTTGAGCAGCAAGCTCCGAGCAGCGGTAAACAAGGTATTGTGTGATGTGGTATTCAATACTGAGCTTTTACAAATACAGAAAGTCTAAAAGATTCAGCATTACTTATCTTTGGAACAAATTGCTGTGATATTATCTCATCCGGTATTATCTCATTTATATCCCTTTCTTAGCGTTCCTAGAAGCTCTGCCTCATCTCTGCCAGCATGTGAAACTGGTGGGTGACGACGGCGACTCTCAGGCGGTTCTCTGTGCTCTCATTGGTCTCATGGAAGACTCGGACGCAGTGGTCAGAACGCGCTTCAGCCAATCGGTGCGTTTCCTGCTGACGGAGACCACCAGGAACTCCGAGCACGGCTCTCTGAGCGAGGTGAGCAGTTCCAGCTTCAAGGCTCAAATGTCTAAACATCCTAAAAACAAACGAAGGAGCACAAAATATTGATTGTTAATATATTATGAATATTGCAAATGAATGTTTAATATGCCGCCTTAAAATCATTCTCGTGTTTTTCAAACTGGCCTTTTGTAGATGATTTGTATAATTACCTTTTTTTTCTTTTTTTCGTTCTGAAAATGATGTGTGTTTCTTGCCGTCTAAGCTCCTGGTCACCCGTCTTAAAGAGGCGTTCAACAGCGCTAAACTCAAAAGGGACGACGACCTGCGCAACACTCTGATCCTCACCACCGGGGAGATCGGCAGGTACGGTATTTTCAACTATTGTCTTCCATCTTTTGTTGTCACGGAAAGTTTGGTTCGCAAAGATATTCAAAATTCCCACAAAAAATTGATAGAAAAAAAGACTTGCTTTGGTGAAAGTTGTTCATCTCTCTCGTCTCCCGTCAGAGCGTCTCAGGGAAGTCTGGTGTCGTTCTCTCTGCTGCGGCTGCTCCACTGTCTGCTGTCCAAGTCGTCCCCGGTGTCCGTAGCTGCTTACGCTCAGATCCGAGCTCTGGCCACCGCCAAAGGTCTTAAACTGCAAACCCTCTTCAGTCAGTACAAGAACCCAATTTGCCAGGTATGAAATCTTTAATGTCGCTTGAATAAATGTGAAGCTGGAGGCCGATGCTACGAGCAGTGCGCGCCAGCTTTAATTTGTTCTTTCCTTCTCCCGTGCGCTTAGTTCCTGGTGGAGTCGCTGCATTCTCGTCACGGGTCGGCCCTGCGAGGCACGCCGGATCAGGGCAAAGAATCGGCCAATCAGAGAGAGCTTGCTCTGGACATCCTGGCTCAGATCGCACACGCTTTTGATTTCCCAGACCTCCACCGCTTCCTCACTGTATGTCATACACGTGCTTTAACTACACAGAAGCCCACATTTTCTGCATTCTACCGTATGTTGCGATAGTACATTGAGACTATATTATGTATATGTACATGTGTGTTTCTGAGCGTGTATGTTTTTATGCATGATACTTGTCTATGCAGAGGACCCTGCAGGTGCTCTTGCCCTACCTGGCAGCGAAAGCGAGCTCGACAGGCTCCGCCCTCATCCGCACCCTGGCCAATGAGCTGAAGGCAAACAGGAGAGAGATCCTGATCAACAACTTCAAATACATCTTTAGCCACCTGGTGTGTTCCTGCACTAAAGAAGAGCTAGAGAGGGCCTTCCACTACCTGCAGGTAAATTCTGTCCTACCTTCTTCTTGCATTGTGATCATGTAACGAGTCGACCCACGGGTACAAAAGAAAACTACTAACAAATGTATATTAAAGGGATTGTTACACAGATTTGGTAGTTCTCTATATATTTATGTACAGTCAATGTTTTCAATCCTACCTACACAACTCTCCCACCGTTCTCCTTCTCGTCCTTGCCGTTTTTCTGTGAATGGTGGCTAAAATATGTTTGCCAATAAAGAAATGAATAATTTTGTTTTTCATCTTAAACAATTTGATTACCATTGCATTGTTTTTCCTGATATTCCCTCAGAGTGAGACAGAGATCGAACTGGGCTCTCTGCTCAGGCAGGACTTCCAGGGTCTTCACAACGAGCTGCTGCTGCGCTTGGGAGAGCACTACCAACAGGTCCACACACACACATGAATGCTCATGCACATGAATTAATTCACTTTAGTGGTTTGAAACTGGCTCCTGTTTACATGTGTTTTTGTGCGTTTCTATGTAGGTGTTTAATGGGCTCGCTATCCTGGCGTCCTTTGCAACCAATGATGACCCGTACCAGGGTCCCCGAGACATCACCTCTCCAGAACGAATGGTACGGGTCACTTTAATGTGCTGTTAGCAAAGCAATAGTAATACACATGTTGTGGAATTATAACAGACCAAAAGCTTTTAAAACAAACTATTTTTTATTCTTCATTTCAAACACTCCTGTAACCTTTACTTGCACATGATTTTTAAACAGAATTTTGGTAAATGATTGTACATACGTATATACTTTTGTTGTTTTTACTATATATTATGACATATATTACGTATTTAGTAATCAATCTCTTGCCTAATCGGATTCTTTCCTCTGGTTGTTGTGTGACAGGCGGACTACCTGCAGCCGAAGCTGCTGGGAATTCTTGCCTTCTTCAACATGCAGCTGCTCAGCTCCGGCGCGGGAGAGAAGGACCGCAAAAAGTTGGTGCGTGATGCTCGACTGGCCACTACTTTGATATATTTTATTTGAAAACATAGTGTTTAAGTAGGAGTGTCATCAGAGCTGTCAATTGAGGTCAATATCGCTCACCGCATTAGTCTGTAAACACTGTTGTTTGTCCACTGTGCTTCTGCTCATCCTGCATTGTGTGAAAAGACAACGTCCCCCTGTGTTTGTGCGTAGGCTCTGACCAGTGTGATGGCTCTAATGCGACTCATGGGCTCCAAACACATCAGCTCGGTGCGGGTAAAGATGATGACGACGCTCCGCACGGGTCTCCGATACAGAGAGGACTTCCCTCTGCTCTGCTGCCAGTCAGTACACAAACCCACATGTTGTTTAAGTCCCAAGGAAATTGCCTATCTGTACAATCGTGTTCCGTTATTGAGTTGCTTGAGATATCTGAGATATTTTTTTGTGTGTAAATACCTGGTTCTTCTTGTGGACAGGACGTGGGATTGTTTTGTGAGGAGCGTGGAGACGGCCCACCTGGGACCTCTACTGAGTCATGTTATTGTTGCCCTCCTGCCTCTGATCCCGCTGCAGCCCAAAGAAACTGCTGCCATCATCCGCTTCCTAATACTGGAAAACAGGTAACACACATATGAACAAATAATGACCAAACTGGTCGTGTGCCAAAGGTTGCACATAAGAACCTTTCGAAGTGAAAAAACAAACTAAATTTCATCTCATTCCTGCTTCAATTCACATGTAAAAAAAGGTTTTACAAACTCATAAACTAAGTGGGCGGGGCTTATTCCTACACTCACTGGAAATAAAGGCCCCAAAAAGGTTTAGACAGACTTATGATGTTAGTGATCTAGTTTGGTCTTATTTCCTCCCAGGGAGGAAGTCAACGACTACCTTCATGAGATTTACTTTCTGCCAGACCACCCAGAGCTGAAGACATCCACACGGTTCTGCAGAACTACAAGAAGGTCAGTACGGACAATGGGATGATCGTGACGAAGTGAATGCAGACGGCAGCGAGTGTATTTATCGAAACATCTGTGGTTAAAGATGAAAATATCCTCTTAATGTTTGTTAATGTGTATGTGACTCCATCCAGCTGACAGCCAGCAGCAGCGACTTGGCCGCGGCGCTGCAGCTCTCCATGAGGGCGGTGCAACACGAAAACGTTGACGTCAGGGTTCATGCGCTGACCAGCCTCAGGAACATGATGCACAGCAAGCAGGTACACAAACAAACACACAGAAACACACACAGATTGTTAGACGAATACCTCTGAAAGAGTCCAACTTTTTTCTTGCAACTTATAAAATACTATAGAACAGTATTTTTTCAGTGTATTTTGTCAATGCTGTGGATTGCAGAAGTGGCTGCTGCGTCAGGTCTGTGCGAGTGAAGCGGTGGAGCCGGTCATCTCCAGCTTGGTGTCGGTGCTGCTGAAGGGCTGCCAGGACTCGTCCCCGGAGGCCAGGCTCCTCTGCGGGGAGTGTCTCGGGGAGCTGGGGGCCGTAGATCCTGGACGTCTGGATCTGTCACACACTCAAACGCATGGCGACCGCAACACCTTTGTGGTAAGTATAAAATAAATACCGAGGTTACACAGCTTATAACTGTGGCAATATGCTTTAACATACTTAAGTGGAAGTCGGCATTTAGCGACAGTACTTTTTTCTGCAGAGTGGAGTCGATGATCCCAACTTTGCCTACGACCTGCTTAATGAACTGACCAGAACGTTCCTGGCTTACGCTGATGATGTGAGAGCACAGGACTCTTCTGCCTATGCAATCCAGGTACGCAAACACTCAATTTGCACTTTAATGTGAAGGTGATTTCCTCGGGTCCCTCGGGAATATATCCGCGTGAAGTTGATAAACAAACAGAGGCTGCTTCAATTGGATGTAATGTCTTGTCTGTAAAATGTCTTTGTGTCAATGTCCTGTAGGAGCTGCTGTCCATCTTTGAGTGTCGTGAGGGTCGATTAGACACAGCAGGGCGCCGGCTGTGGAGGAGATTCCCAGAGCAGATTCAAGAAATATTGGAACCACACCTCAACAGCAGGTACTCATGTTTATACACACGTGGACTTGTAGCACACACACGTTCTGATCCTGTGGTTTAGTTATCTCACAAGTGATTCAGGGGTTGAATTATTTCTTTTTTGTGCTTCTTCTTACCCGTATCTTCAGGTATAAGAGCAGTCAAAAGGAGGTAAACTGGTCCAAGCTAAAGAAGCCGGTGTACTTAAGCAAGAGAGGCAGCAAATTCTCTGATTGGTCAGCCACCTGGGCTGGATACCTCATCAGCAAGGTTTGCTAGTTTATCTTAAGCTGAACAGACACCCCTTACAATTCAGGAATCTGAACATTTATTACCAAAATATAAGGATACAAGGAATTTGAATGAATACAGGCAACAAGCTTGAGACCAAAACACGTTTGATGTGTTTTAGGTGAGACACGAGCTGGCCAGCAAAGTGTTCACCTGCTGCAGCTTCATCATCAAACACGACTACAAGGTCACAATCTACCTGCTGCCTCATATTCTGCTCTACATGCTGCTGGGCTGCACACCTGCAGAGCAACAGGAGGTGAGAACTGTGTTTCTGATCCAGGGTTTTGGGGTTTGTTTTATTTTGGCATTAATTGAACGCCTCCCTCCAGGTAACGGAGGAGATGCTGGCCGTGCTGACAGCGGAGGACGGTCGAGGAGGCGGGCCCGGTCAGGAGACGGCCTCCAGCCTGTCACAGCTCAGCACTCAAACCGTCTTCAGCATGTTTTCTCACCTCACACAGTGTAGCCGCCACTTCCTCTACTCCAAACCCAAACACAGCGGTGAGTCACACCCAGGGCATAAATCTCTGGCGTCTGGGTTTGTAACCACGGCGATAAAACACACATCAGTTCCAGGAAAAGAACTTAAAGTTATTGACCACATTTGTTTGCAGGTTTGTACTTTGGGCTTTAGGTTAAATCATGTGTGTTGCTGAGGTCAGTGACAACAGAACAGATCATTATTTACAGGATAATTATAGTTTATGATTAGTGCAGTAATATTTATCCCTTAGTTTCACTGAACTGAATGTAATCACAAACATTGCTCTTTGGTTCGCTGACCCGTATGATTAACTAACTCAGGAATTATGAAGCTAAAGAGGTTTTATTGCAGAGAGCGGCGACTACCAGCGGGTGGTGGCCTTCCTCAAGGGTATTCCACAGGACGTCCTGGCCAAGGCTTCTCTGCGATCCAACGCGTTCACTCGCGCCCTCATGCACTTTGAAGCATACATCTTAGAAAACAAAGAGGACATCCAGGACCATCTCACCTTCTTGCAGGTCAGTTTAATGTATTTCTCTGATCAACTGTGTGCTCATTTCCTCTGCTTTTATACTGGTGGCATGCAACTGGCTATTTAGAAGAGTGTTGAATATTTGAAAGAATATTTCAGCAAAAATCGGCAAAACAAAATCTTTTGTTTTACGATCCTACAATGTGTTGTGGACAGGAATCTGAAATCCATTATCCAACGTCATGAGTTTAAGTGTTTGTACCTAAAGTAACTGATTAAGTGCAGTCTAACAGTTTATGTCTATCATGTCTAACACTAGAAAAAAATCCTGTTTAAGAGTGTAGAGGAACACATGTTGAGCTATTACACATCTTTATAGATGATGATGATACACTTTAACACCCCATTAACAACAAAAGAACAACAGAAGTTTGCAGAACAATAAATTCCTAAAAATCATATCATGACAACGTGCTGCTAGAAGTTGATAAACAATCATGTTGAGTCGGTCCCTGTGAAGTGGAAGTTGTAGCTCTGAAATATTTGGTACAAATGGCTGTCGTCGCAGACTCTCTATGCCGCCATGCATGAGCCCGATGGAGTGAGGGGGGTCAACGCAGTAAGGAGGGAGGAGCCGTCGCTACGTGAGCAGATACTGGAGCATGAGAGCATCGGCCTGCTGCGAGACGCAACCGCCTGCTATGACCGGGCCATTCAGCTGGAGTCGGACCAGGTACACACACACACACACACACACACACAGTACCATGTTTCATTTCCTTGTTTCTGCTTTTCGGTCTTCACTTTTCTTTTGTGGTGTAACAATCCACTAAGATGTCTCTGCTGCAGTACAGTCTATGTCTTGACTAGCAAATTGTCTACACTGCACCCTGTAGATTTGGTTAAATTAGTTGACCCCTTGGTCCTCCAGGTCATATTTAATTGATTCGTTCAAAATTTGCCGTATAAAATGTGGCCAAATTACAATAATTTTCAGTTCTCAGTTTACAATAGCAAGCGGCAGTAATGTATGGTTAAGAGCTATAGTATATTAAAAAACAGCATAAAGGGAAGTGGCCTCTATATATTTTTAAGGTAAAAGATAATTATTATTTTTTTTTACGCTGTTGTATATTCCTATAATTATTTCCTCATCGTCCTTTTTGTGAATAGATCGGTCACTATCACGGGGTGATGACCTCTATGCTCGGCCTGGGACAACTGTCAACTGTCATCACTCAGGTCAATGGAGTACTGGCCAGCAAGTGAGACACACATTAAAAAAGAAGTTTAATTTGAATTGAAGTATGACTCTAGGTGGAAACGTTCTGGATGATGTTTTAACTAATGGATGATTGTATTCTTTACTTGGATAACATGTACACGTATGCAAGTAAAGATCCACTGAATATAGCTTTGTGCCCCATATTAAGGCATCAGTGGAAGTCGGAGCTGAACACCTACAGAGTGGAGGCCGCCTGGAAGCTCGGAAAATGGGACCTGCTCGAAGAGTATTTGAGTTCAGGTAATAAAACCCACTAATGATCCTCGAAAACCTGTATCATATTGAACTGTGTATTGAGATATTTAGTGAAACATAGAAGTCAATGACTGTTTTGCTCTGCCATTGTGTCCCCAGACCCCCAGTCCAATACCTGGGGGGTGCGACTTGGCCAGTTACTGCTGTCCGCTAAGAAGCAGGATGCCGAGACTTTCTATGACAGGCTGAAGCTGGTGAGGAAGGAACAGATTGTCCCTCTGTCTGCAGCCAGTTATGAGTGTGGCACCTACCAGAGAGGATACGAGTACATCGTCAGGTCCGTGTGTGCCAGTGTTTTCCTACAATGGCTACGCTTTGCATGCAAGTATCCGTATCAATAACTTGTGAATCCGGTTAGGCTCCACATGCTCAGCGAGTTGGAACACAGTTTTACTGAGCTGCAGAAACAGAGGGAATGCTCCACCCCCGGCCCCACTCACCTGCCTCCTCATTGGTCCGATCGCCTGGAGATGACCCAAAATTCCTTCAGGGCCAAGGAACCGGTCCTGGCCCTCCGCCGTTCCCTGCTCAGCTTGGGACCACAGTAAGGATGTCGAAGTATTTGTGTAAAGCTGTCACTATTCACCCTCAAGCATTTAGGCTGCATGAGCATTATGCCAGATGGTTTGTTCACACTAAACCATTTGAGAAGACGCCCCCTGGAAAAGGTGATTTGGGATGAGCCATTCGTCAATCAAACTGTAGTCGAGGCGAATTGGGAGGAGAGCAAAAACATATTTTCTATCGGGATAACCTTTCGGTACTGCTTTTCTTTAACTAAAACTTTCCAGTTTTGATGTGACTAATGGTATTGTAGCATCTACGCTAAACTCTCGGACTAAGATGCAAACCGGAAGGAAGAAATCCCGTGTCAATGCCAGATCACAAATCATGCTTTTTGTGTTCTCTGCAGGCAAAAGAGCAAAGCGCTGGTCGGCGAGTGCTGGCTGCAAAGCGCCCGTGTGGCCAGAAAGGCAGGACACCACCAGACTGCCTTCAATGCACTACTGAACGCAGAGCACACACACCTGGCCGAGCTGGTGACCGAGAAGGCCAAGTGGCTTTGGTCCAAGGTATAAGCAACCCTTTTCACAATGTTTCGCACCTGCTTTACAGCTAACACTTATTAATTGTATCACATTTGCTTTCCTATTTACAATTCAGTTGTTTTGATCAAATGAATGCATGATAGTCATAAACAATTTACACTCACACACACAAAACAAACGACACCAATGAAATGTTGGTGTGTCGTCAGGGCGACGTGCACGAGGCCCTCATCGTCCTGCAGAAGGGCGTGGCCCAGTGTTTCCCCCACGACCAGCCGCTCACAGAGCCTCGCAGCCTGCAGACCAAGAGCAAGGCCATGCTGCTGGTGGGACGCTTCATGGAGGAGACGGCCAACTTTGAGTCCAACGCCATCATGAAGGCGTACAAGGTAACAGTACGGCCGAGTTTCACGGAGGCAATACAGCAGATGCTACAAAGTAATTTTTGACAGTTAAGAGAACGTCCTTAAGTATCTTGACAACATAGTGAATTTTCTATGACCGACTGAATGGTTATTATTATAAGAAAATATTTGTCAGATGTATGGCGGCAAATCACTGTCGAATTTTGACAGTGATTTGCCGCCATACAGAAAGAGTAGATTGTCGGTTGCAGCCGTCCTTCAAAGTGAGCTTGTGATGTTTCTTAGGATGTTACCAACCTTCTGCCTGAGTGGGAGGATGGAAACTTCTACCTGGCCAAGTATTACGACAAAGTGATGCCAATGGTGACTGATAACAAGCTGGAGAAACAGGGGAACCTCATCCGATATATCGTAACATACTTTGGAAAGTAAGTAATGTTCTGACTTGTGATGCCCAGCCTTTCCGTCCATGATCAAAGTGTCTTTATATTCCGCCATATACGGATTAGTTTCTTTACCATGCGTTTATTTTGGGTTTTTCCCCCTCCCAGAGCCTTGCAGTTTGGAAACCAGTACATCTACCAGGCCATGCCTCGCATGCTGTCTCTCTGGCTGGATTTTGGAGCCAAAGTGTGTGAGTGTGAGAAAGGTGGGTGGGCGATAGTAACTGTAAGGCTTACATATATATATATATATATATATATATATATGTGTGTATATTATATATATACACACACACACAGGGCAGTGAGATACTACCAGTGTCCCGCTCGCAGCTTATGCCGCTATGTTGTTCTATGGTGAGCCGAGACAAACGCTGTCCACACATCCCTCCGACACAGCGGGGCGAGCAGATAGACCGATGCGACAGGAGCTGGGAAAAATCAACACGGTGATGAGCGAGCACTGTGCCAACTTGGCGCCGTACCAGTTCCTGACCGCCTTCTCCCAGCTCATCTCCAGGGTCTGCCATTCCAGCGACGAGGTCTTCAACGTCCTCATGAAAATCGTGGCCAAAGTCTTCCTGGCGTACCCACAACAGGCCATGTGGCTAATGGCCGCTGTCTCCAAGGTAGGTGTGTGTGTGTGTGTGTGTGTGTGTGTGTGTGTTGTTTTGAATGAGGAAGTTGAATAATCTATAATCGTTTTATAGTTTTAGTCGTTAAACAAATCAGTTCCCATTGCAAAAATGATAAAATCCCCCATTCTTGTTTGATTTGATTGAATGATTTAAATAATACATTTGCAAGTCTACTAATTGCTTCACTGTAAACTAATTACTTCACATTCACTCCTGGCTGTTTTTTTTTCTTTCAGTCTTCCTATCCGATGCGTATGAACCGTTGTAATCAGATCCTTAAGAAAGCAATTAGTCTTAAACAGTCTCTGGAGAAATTCATTGGAGATGCCAACAGGTTGACCGACAAGCTGCTGGAGCTCTGCAACAAGCCGGTACACACACACACACACACACACATACAAGTACATCAACATTAAGCCGTTTTAGCCTTGAAGGTTGGCTAACATATAGTTTGTAAATTCTTAATCTTAAAAACATTATTTTTTTACCTCCAAAATGAAATAGGTTTTATTATCGTACGGCTTAATATCATTATATTACTTTCATACCATGTTTCACTGTTTTATATGAGGTATGATATGGACCAACACTGACTGATGTGAATGTGTCGCTCAGGTGGATGGAAGCAGCAGCACCCTCAGCATGAGCGTTCACTTCAAGCAGCTAAAACGTCTGGTGGAGGAGCCGACCTTCAGCCAGATCCTGATCCCACTGCAGTCGGTCCTCATCCCAACGCTGCCGTCTACCGGCGGGGCAAACACGCAGCACGACGCTTTCCCCGGACACTGGGCCTACCTGAGCGGGTTTGATGACAATGTACGAGAAAGAGACTGATGTCATAGATGTTTTAGTAGATGTCATTGCTATTTTATTATCACGGAAATCATCTTAAACTGTTGACGCATCATAACTCTAAACTGTGTGTGTTTTGTTTGTGTGAAGGTGGAGATCTTGGCCTCCTTACAGAAGCCTAAGAAGATAAGCCTGAAGGGTTCAGATGGGCGGAGCTACACCATGATGTGTAAACCTAAAGATGACCTGAGGAAGGACTGCAGACTCATGGAGTTCAACTGCCTCATAAACAAGGTATGAGCTATTTGTTTACTTATGTTGATATTATGGAGAAGTATTGATCATCTGTCCCCAGATGGAGGTAGCACCAATTAGTAACAACCTTTCACTATTGTATCGTCTAATGTAAAGAGATTCTTAACTCTGAACAGGGACTAAAATGTATTGATATTGATAATCAAAAGTTATTTTCATGGGCTTAGTTGGGGGTTTGCTGTCTTGTCTTGATTTAATAGTTAGGTAAGGGGTAAGCAGGATCTGCCAAGCAGGCAGACACGAGTCTGACAGGATGGGGAGTCAGTTTCTGTCCTGGCTGAGGAATGTAAGGTCTGCGGGTCAACTAGAAGATTTACCAGCCAAAGGGGGGTTAGAGACACACCAACACTATTCAACATACACACTCTGTTTACGATGTTTACGTTAAGTCAGGAGTCTGGACATTGGATGTGACCGGATCTTAGATGCGGGAGGTGGAAGGTCCTCCTCTACGCCAGTTTAGGGCCAATAGAAATATTTCCTTCTCTGTCTCTCAAGGGTTATAAAACATGATGTTCTTGCTGATGTTAGTTAGTTGTTCTTCCGGCCTGTGTGCTGCCTGAACTGCTCCTGCCTTTGCAAACGCAGCGCTGATACTTGACCTGTGATCTGACAAATAAATTTTCCAGAACGAGAGAAGTTATTCGGCTGAATTTTTGATAACCCCGACCAGGCTCCAAATCTTGAACACGTATTCTTACAATTTACATTGTATAGATAAACAAGTTCATGAATGCATAGTAAGTTTCTATGATCAACTAAGGATATAAAAAAGGAAAAAATCATATCTCTAAATGTATATAGACACGTAATTCCCTGCATGCTTACTTTAAATATACATTATTTTTACACAAATAATACAGTAAATTAATCTTATTTTCTGACGTTTGGAACATTTCATTATTGGCATTATTCTAATTTCCCTTCGACATAATTTATGAGTATTCTAAATTCAGTAAAGTCAATTGTACGTCAATTAAGTTAATTAAGTTGTGTGATTTATATGTTTTGCTACAATTTGTGGTTTTGAGTTCAGTCGCCGCTTCTCCTTCACAGTATGACCAGAAACTGAAATGATAAAAATCCACATAGAATTTTGGAGCAGGTATTCGATTGCACCTAATGACTCAGTGTCTCTGTGTCAGTGCCTACGTAAAGATGCTGAGTCACGGCGGAGGGAGCTGCACATCCGCACCTACGCTGTGATTCCTCTCAATGAGGAGTGCGGCATCATCGAATGGGTCAACAACACCGCTGGACTTCGACACATACTCACCAAGCTGTATAAAGAGAGAGGTATACGCCCACACGAAACCTGAAAGTAACAACAAACCGACATTCAGTTTGTTGAATGTAGTGACATTTGATTTGGCCGTCCTTTTTCTGTGCGCCGTAGGCATCTACTTATCAGGTAAAGAGCTCCGGAAGCTTATTCTTCCGAAGACGGCCCCCTTTGAGGAGAAGCTACGAATCCACAAGGAGGTGCTTTGCGTTCGACACCTTCCTATATTCCACGAGTGGTTCCTCCGGACCTTCCCCGACCCTACATCATGGTACGACCCTACCTCCACCCTATACCACTTTTTCAGAAAGCAGGTCCAATAATAATAATAATAATCTATTCTTATTTTTCAATTTTACCATTCTGGATTTTCAAATGTAGAACTTCTTGAATAGTTTTAGGGAGGGGGAGAGGAGTTGATCGATTTTTAAGTTGTGGGTAAATTGGGAGATGAGATCTTCCTGAGTAATCTCACTCATTCTCATTGTGTTTACAGGTACAGCAGTCGCTCCGCGTACTGCCGCTCCACTGCCGTGATGTCCATGGTGGGCTACATCCTGGGTCTGGGCGATCGCCACGGGGAAAACATCCTCTTTGACTCTTTCACTGGGGAATGTGTTCATGTCGACTTCAACTGCCTGTTTAACAAGGTTTGGGTTTTTTTCGTCTTAAATTGTCTTTGGATATTAAAAATGTACATACATCATAAACAGATTGGTTTGCTATTGTTATTATATATGAATAAATCTGTCAGTAGAAATTTGTTCTGTTGCCTTTTGCCTCTTTTCCCTGAGGCGCATATTTTCCTCTCCACTAGGGGGAGACCTTCGATGTGCCAGAAGTGGTTCCCTTCCGTCTGACCCAGAACATGGTCCACGCTATGGGCCCCATGGGCATCGAGGGCCTCTTCAGGCAGGCCTGTGAGGTCACCTTGAGACTAATGCGGGACCAAAGGGAACCGCTCATGAGGTACACAAGAAAATATGATCATCAAATGTTCTTTAAAACCTTGTTTCAATGAAGTGCAGAATTCACGTTTTTTTAAATAAAGGGGTTAGTGTACGTGTACCATACATACAGACTGTTTGAAAATCAATTGATTTCTAAAATACTCTGTTCCAAATTGAAATATTGCTTTTTTAATTTTATTTCTAAGTGTGCTGAAGACCTTCCTTCATGACCCCCTGGTGGAGTGGAGCAAACAAGCCAAAGGACTTTCAAAAGCTCAGGCCAATGAGACGGGAGAGATCGTCAATGAAAAGGTGTGTGAATTTTGGAGGTGGATTTTGTTTAGTGAACTTTTTGTACGTGCATTAAGACCAGTGTGCATGTCAAATACAAATATGTCTTTACCTCTTCTTTCTCTTCCAGGCGAAAACCCTCGTGTGTGACATCGACCAGCGTCTGCAGGGAGTCATAAAGAGCAGGAACAAAGTGCTGGGTCTACCTCTGTCCATAGAGGGACACGTCCACTACCTCATACAGGAAGCAACAGACGACAAACTGCTCTGTCAGATGTATCTGGGCTGGGGGCCCTACCTGTAGAACACACCTTTACCTGTAGAACGCACCTAGGTTTACTAAATGTATGTAAAGAAGCTTTCCTGTTATCAAATACTTGCACATACATTTTGTTATGAAGAAACAAAATAATTCACTACCGTTTGGTGACGAGCTCTTCATCGTTCCGTTTGTTTGTTTTTGTACTTTCATCATTGGGAAGTCCGGTTTTCTGGAGACCAAATATATTTGTTACATTTCTGTACAATCTCTTGCAATAAAAATGTTTTTGCAGATTTGATTTTGTAGGTAAATGTGTATGCAAGTGTGTCTTCTAATCCGGGGTGGGGTGAGTGGCCTCCTGGGGGTATAATTTGTAAAAAAAAAAATCAATAGGGTTTTTACACAAAATAGAGACATTAATTATAAAAAAAAGTTTGATCAAAATCTAAAAATTAAAAATGTACAGTTTAATAAGTAAATGCACTTCAGCAGGAGGACTTTTACAAACACAGTAGCTGACGTCAGCTAACAGCTAACTTCATTCAGCAACATAAAACCTGCTGAACTGGCTGAAATGGGGAAACTGTCAAGTGGACATCTGAAGTCGCGAGAGACGGACGGAGAGAGATGGAGGAATCCGAGCCTGAGCCCCCTGTGCTGCTGTGAAATCCTCAGATGGACCCTTTTTATTCATATCTGTTTCTGAGACCCACAATTTGTTTTTTATGTGGGTTACTGTGTATACGTCATTTCAAATTCCCCTACCTCTGATGATCAGTCGTGATGTGTAACTTTGCATTTTGAATTTTAGATAATGTATCCGCTGTGTGTGGTTAATTGTACATGGAATATGATGCAATCTGCCTCTGAGCCTGTACGTGTGTCCTTGTCCTTCTTATTGGTCTTTCAAAGACACCTAACTGGAATTTATTGAAACCGTGTTGCAGTGAGTATTTATGTAGTTGTTTTGCTTTGTCCTGATTCAGAATTAATATGATACAATGTTGCAGTTGCCCCTTTGTTCGGTCTGTGTTCACACTGCAACATTTAACAGCAGACTAAATATTGTAAACAACCACACGTGAGCAAACTGTTCTGTCATTGGTCCGATTTGAATGCAGCTATAAATAGAAGTGTGGATGTAGAAGGGGGTCGTGGCCTAAAACGTTCAGGAATCGTTGCTAATCTATTAACCCTCGTTTAGACTCTTTAACAGTCCGATTGTTTTAATCCCCTCTTGCACAAACCCACTGGTTGAATCAGCTGACCTTTTCAAATGGGAGCACCAATTGGAGCCAAGTGTTGTCTCTGGAGAGCCTTAAGAAGACTGGGTGAGGACAGTAGGCTAAGTGAGTGGTGTGGAATATCTCTAAGTGAGCCAGCTTAGTGTAGTCTAGTCATGAGTTCGAACACGCAAAATATCACTGTGTTTTTTATCTTTACTTTTCTCGTTTTTGTCAATGCCTGGCTGTTCTTTCAGACGTCTGTTGGATAGAAGTCTTTATTGATGGTTTTAAATTAAGAGGATTCCAAACCGGCGGTGGATGTGGACCATTTTTAAGGTTGTGTGTCTTTTTTACATTAAGACAACGTCATATATTACAGCGTTTTGCAGATAAATTGCTTGTGTTCATGTATATTCAACCGCTGAGTAACGTTGCGTTTTAGAGATTATGCTTTTATTCTGAAAATCGTACCCGGACGCCCCGGTCACTTATCTCTTATAAAATTGTCATTATTTTAAACCAGTTTAAAGAAAACCATAAAGGCCAAATACCCGCCACTCGTGTGCTGTTAAATTAACCTGGATTTGAAACACTTCAAACGCAACGTTACACGCTGCAGTTACGACAACAAATCGAAAATCCTATTAATTAGATAACGGTTCACATAAACAACGTTACGCCGCGAACGGGCCAATTAACCGTCGGTGTAAGCGGCTCTCGGCTGAAGACCACAGAAAGCGCGGCGGCTTCAGGGGAAACGGGCAAAAACTGCCCCGCGCGGGCTCTTGACCTCGCGGCGTCTCCCGCCTTCATGCGGCGGGGCTCGGCCGCCGTTAGCGGACCGTCATCTGGCGTCTGACGTTCGCCTCCGTTGGTCTCCGGGATATTTCTCTTTATAGCGGACAGCCGCCCCGCTGACGTGGACCGCCGGGGACGCGGTGCGCGACCTTGTGGGGCGTCGACATGGACCTGACGCGGCTGGCGGTGGACGCCGGTCAGTTCATCAACCGGGCCGTTCAGGTTAGTAAACAAACGTGGATTAACTTGAGCCGATCGTTGTGACTTGGGTGTTATATTGAGGTGCTACGAGGCGTTCGTGTCAACATAAATGGCGGGTGTAAAGAGCGATGGTTCCGCCCCCAGTACACGGAGGAGAGTCTCGGTCAAGCGGAGAAGACGGAGGTGGACCCCGGGCTGGACGAGCTCTTTGCCCGGGTGGACGCAACCAAGAGATGGACGGACCAGATCATCTCCCAGACTGAGGTTTTACTGCAACCCAATTCCGGTGAGAAGATTTATTTATTTTTATTATTTAGCTGTTAAGTTATCAAGTCCCTGCACTGGCCTTTAGCAAATAGACAATATTCGTTGAACACCCCTGATACAAGTTATTATCAAAAGGCAGTTTTACTGTAGAGGCTTATCTACCAGTATTTATGACATTAATTGAAAGTGTATGTCATTAACATCATAAACATGTTGTCCTGATAAGCGCACCATCTTCACATTTACATCCACCCACAGCTCACAGCTCTACATAAAACCCCTAAATGATAACTATAGCTCTTTACCTCTATGTGAGTGACCTCTGATCCCGTCCTACAATACAAAGTAGTCTACTATACATCTCCTGTTTGCTTTGATGGCAAATTGGCCCATTCGGATGAATAGCTAATGGGATTGTAAGTGGTTGTGGTCTGTATAGGTAATGTGTCCGTGCAGCTGCCAGAAATAATAATCTCATATGTTCATTCATATGACACCAAGGCTTTATTTGCAGATCATCTTTTGATCGAGGGCTTTTAGTTTAGAATCCTCTTTGTTTACCGTACGGGCTAATGGCAAGAAGCAGCATTATGTAAGCAGAGGCCTTTGTGTGTTTTGTTTCACATTATCTGTTTCCGATTCTTGTTTTGAGTACAATACAATTATTGAATATGTGCAGAAGTTTAGGTAGCCCATTTACTGGCAGGTGTATGGCATGCTTCGACTATTAAATGTCCCGTTGCAGCATCCCGACACTTGTTTTTGACACCAAATTTACCCTCCACGACGATTTTAGCGAGGTATTGATTTGTGTTCTCGTTCGACATTACACAGTCGTTTGCAGAAGACCAATAGAATCTTCCGAGCAAATACAAAACACCACAATTCCTAGTCAAAGACAAGCCTTGAAGCTGAATTGTGAGCTTTCTGATCCCTGGTGAACAGGAGCGCGGTTAGAGGACCGGCTGTATGAGCATCTGGATTGGAGCGTCCCTCCCCGGCCTCGTGCACACGAGGTACTGGGAGACCAAATGACCCAGGCCGGGCTGGAGATGGGGTCCAACACACCCTATGGTGAGCATGCATACTTAATATTGTTCACATCACATCAGTCAATACTTTTCAGAGTGTACAAAAAATATGATGGTAAGTAGGTTTTCTGTTCAGGAACTGCACTGCTCAGGTGTGGCGATGCCCAGAAGCAGCTTGGCGAGGCAGAGAGGAAATTTGTCCAGAGCACTAACATCCACTTTCTGAGCCCTCTGAGGAGCTTCACTGAGGGGGAATACGGGGCCATGCAGGTAACACACACACACACCCATCATCAAAGTGGCACGGCTTATTGCTTCCCTTTCTGTGTTCTTTTGTGCATGTGCGGTTTATAAATGATTTGTATGCGTTACAATGCTATTCAAAGGTGTGTGTTGTTTGTTTGTCCGTAGGCTGAGCGCAAGATGCTGGTGAATAAGCGTTTGGATTTGGACATAGCTAAAACCAGGCTGAGGAAAGCGCATGAAGCCGACCGAGAGGGCAGAGTGAGTCACGTTGTCTGATCTTTACGTGTACAAAGACATTTGAAATAAATATAAGTTTTCACGTGGGCTCGTTCTGAAAACACTTTGTCAGAACCTGAATGCCAACCCGCTGGAAGAGGACTACTTGTCTCACGTGTCTTACATGTTCAGCTTCCTGCGTGTTAAATGGCTGAAGGTCAGTGACGTTGGAGGTTTATCAATATTGACACACACAACCGAGCTTCCTTGTTTGGTCAATGAGTAAGTCCCTTGTCCTCCTCTGTCTTTCTCATCTAATCAGATGTGGGCTCAGGAAATCTCTCAGGTAAGTGAGTGTTCATCCTTAAATAGACACAGGATCTTATGTAAAAAATCTTCATGCTGTAATTAAGGGTGCAATGCTGCCAGTTGTCCTGTTGCGTTTGGCCCCGAGCTCATCCTGACTCGTGAGATTTGTCTTTTGTCTTGGACATAATACATTTATCATTTAGCTGATGCTTTCATCTGAAGCAACTTACATTAAGTGCATTCTATCAAGAGGTTACAGACCATGAACAACAAGATCAAGCAAGTACAATTTCCAGTAAAGCCAAACTATAAACTGCTTTAAGTGCCACCGTAAGTGTTAATTAAGTGCTACGTAGTCCAGGTATAGTCGGTAGAGGTTTTTGTCCAAAGCTGCATAGGCTTTCTGTCTTTCTACTTAGAGTATTTATTTGTGTGTGTGTAGGCAGAGACGGAGCAGAGAATCTGTCAGAGTCTGTTTGATCGACAGTCTGAAAATACAAGACGAGTTGTGGAAGGAATCAACAGTACTCACGTATGTGTGCACATTAACACACACACACACACACACGAAGAGTATAACACTCAGTCATGGCTCTCTTGGTGAAGCCAATATGTGGATTTTTTCCAAAATCCTCACCATATTCAATTGTGTTCCTTTTTTTTGTAATATAGGCCGTTTATGTTGCTTCATCTGCCTTGTGTTTTGTGTGTCTCGTTGTTTTTGTTTTTTCAGACCAACCACATGCGAAGCCTGACAGAGTTTGTGGAAGGTCAGGCTTGTTACTTCGACCAGTGCAACCAACACGCTCAGGAACTCAAGAGGCAGCTGGCCAGGTCTGTATGCCGGGGTTAGTGCAAAAGAAGCCATGCAACAAAATAACCTCATTGGAGATTCAGGAAAAAATATAAGCATAAACAAAAAGAAACTCACTCAATCAAAACCAAACAGGTGCCTGTAGATAGATGAGATAGATTTCTATACGCTTTGCACTGCAATAGGAAATAATCAGAGATGGGGGGGGGGGGATCAGTTACAATTGTGAAATGGTTTGGATTTTGAGTAAATATGATTTATAACTGATATGATTTGTCCTCCTTGCAGCATTCCAGCTGTCTTCTGCTCCAACAACTGGCAGTCAGCAATTAGTGCCGAAGTTACTCAGCCATCAACCAACGGCCATGTAGCCAATGAGCACGTTGGGTTAAACGGGGTCGTCCCGATTCCCAAAGTTGTCCACCAAATTCTCGACTTTGACCAGGACTCATGGACCAATCCACCCACAGCAACCGAGGCAAAAAAAGATTTGTCTGTAACCACACAACCAAATAACAACAACAATAACAACAACAACTCTTTGTCCTCTGATGAGCAAGCTACCAGCCACTGGTCAGTGATCAATCTAGGACTTGATCATGTCTGTACATCAAATTTGAGTCAGATTTCAACCCTCGGCAGAACAGCAAGCGCACAAACCAATGCAGCCGCTGCTGGAAGAAGCAATGGTGCCGGTAGTCAGACGACAACAACTTCCCCGCCTTCTGACATCAGTGGAAATGAGTCTCAGACAGAAAATGCAGCAGCTGGTGACGCCGTACCCACCGAAAACATCGCTATCGAGACAAGTACTGAAACCAGGAGCGAGGTGCCCCCTGCTGACAGAAATGATGTGTGGGAGTCACCATGAGCAGGACAGTCAATGTGGGATATGACACCAATATCATGACGGCCGGCTTTACCGGCGCTTCAGCTGATTTAGAGCAGCAGTAGTTCTCACCGTAGAGCGAAGAATTATAAAGGAACAGGTACACAATCATTATAACATGTTGTTCTGTCAAGTCAACTTTAATTAATCAACTTTAAAATATGGTAAAGTGGTTGTAAAAGTGCTTATTTTTCTAAGTGATAACTCAGTCTAGCCTTTAGCCTAGAATATTAATGAATTCCTCTTGTTGGGTGATAACTGTTGTGTATCAGTCCCCTTTTGTGGCAATGGTTACATTTGCAATGTGTGACTGTGAAAAGTAGATTTTCTGTCTGGGAAAGTAAGTTTTTCTTTGTTAAGTGAGAGAACTAATAAAGCTTTGTGCCAAGTGTATGTGTGTGTGATTGTTCATCTGTGTTTGTGTGCACACTGTCGCTTGTGTTTACAGCCTGACCAAACCTGTTACCCCTTGAAAGAGGTTTGTGTGCGCGCATATGTATGTCACTGCCACCTATTGACACGCTTTGCTGCAAGTTGACATCATTTTCCACATGAAACATGTTATTCGCATGTGTTTGGGAGTCCAGCGAGGCTGAACAGGACCTTTATGCTGCCGCACGGTATGAAATCCTCATACAGGCACTGGGTGTTTCCCCCCCTGCACGGTCAAATCACATACTCACTTTGACCTTTTGTAGCCCGTTACCGCTGCCAGGTGAAACGGGTCTCGGTCGAAGTCCAGATGTTGTTGATGTTCTTCGTGAGGGCAGCCCTGCTCTGCTGTGGTGTGAGTCCACTCACACACACATTAGTACTGAACCATGTCATGTAACCACCAACCATCCTTAAGTATGTAGAGGTGTGTGTTTGTGTGCATAGCTAATAGCTAATTCATTAGTGAGCTAATGTTAGAGGTTTGATGTTTGTGAAAAGGTTGAAATATAAATATGCAAACAGGGATGTCATGTCTATTCACATCAAGTGTTCTCTTGTTAAGCTGTTTTCTGGTTGTCAAGTCCACTAATATTTAAAGCCGCGCTGACACACTGTGACGCTTGTCTTGCTTCACTGACTGCAGCATGTTTAATTGTATAAACAGGAGAATTCAAAATACTAACGAAAGTCTGTGTGTCTCATACGTTTTGCAGTCTGAGGCGGCGCAGAAATAAAACCGGGAAAAGAACCCACACCGTGACACATCTTCTGCTTCATGAGATTAATCAAATGTCATGTGACACCGAGCAGTCAGAAGGCCCACGGCTCACTAACACCGTATTCACTTAACTCGCAACACTATTCAAGCTCCACGTTTATTATAACCAGGACAGACTCTTGTCTTCCCTTTCAATTTAACTTTGCATGACTGTAAAATAATGGTAGTTTGTCAAAAATAAAAGTTGGCCGAGAACGGCACTCTGTTTTAATGAGTCAGTTTGAACTGTGGCCATTCGACACTTTAGAGGGGATCATAGCTGTTGAATTTTATCTTAGTGGGTCAGGAAATGAAGACACTCACTCAGCAAGTCAGCTATTTCTGGTCTAAATGTCCTTCTCCCTCCAACTTTCCTTTCTCTCTCTACCGCTTCCTCTGCAGCTTCTCTCTTTTCCTGAGATAAACATGCCAGCTTCCTCTCCAATTAGTCCCTCTGCTATTACAAGCTGCCAACCAGAGAAAATCAAACATAGTTTTTAGCAGACTTGTTGACATCTGCAAGGAAGCTCAGTCTGGAGGTCTGCAGAGATTATAAAGGTCAAGGATTTTCCTCCGACCTTCACTTGTCCTGCTTCTGCTGCATAACCCCAAGACCTGTTGACCCCAGCCTATGAGAATGAGGTCAAGATAAAGGGAATTCTGCTGTTGCTTAGAAACACAATTTAATTTCAGATGGTAAACACATAGTGATTGCATGCTTAAATATATAATCTCAAACGTGGTCGTGGCATTTTGTGTTGAAGCATTGAGTGACTCATCAGTAAAATGTTGAAGACGGACGGAGCTGGAGAGAATGGGTGAGTCAGCAAACTGCCCCAAGTGCGTCAGTTCTACAATAATCAGATCATACGATATCTGTTTTACAGTAATATATTACATTAGGCATAATAAGTTGATATAAGTATAGGACTACATTAGCAAGATCGTTTTGCTTCCACAAGTTTCCCTTCTTTTAAGAAACTCAAACACTTTTATTTTTCTTCACTTCAGCTTTCCCCCCCATGCCCCGTATAACTCTCCCGTTCTTTTCCTCATAATGTCCCACTCAGTTTGACTTTTGACAGATTACCTCCACTAGAGCATTACTCACCGAGCCTCCACAGCACCCCACCTCCGTCCCACCCTCCGCAAACTGCCCTCCTGCTTCCCTTGTGCGGAGTTTATGAGGCAGCACCCGCAACAGTTGGCTCAGTGTGAAGGACTTTAAATATAGTGACGGTTGAGCAGCTGAGAAACTGGGCGAAGAACACAAAACTTTTGCGATATTTTAAAAAGGAACCCATTCAGTGTCCCCATGCACGTGTTCATGATCTGGCGTGTGCTTTGCTTTGTGGGTGCATCCTTGTGTGTGAATGAGCTTGAGTATGGAGGGAACTACGCAGACAACTACGATAACGAGATCTCTCAGGACCAGCAGGAGGGTGAGCGTTTATTGTTTATTGCCTCTTTGTCTCTTTTATTTCCTGCTTGTTTGCACAGACGGCTCTTTGGAAAGAATTCGTCCCCCGCTGCCATGCTTGATTTCCAAAAGCCAATCAGATACATCTTATTTGCTTTGATTAAGGATTCATCATCACACTTTGATTTATTACTTTTGAAGGATACGCAAAGGTGTCCTTCAGGGGTCTGTCCTTGGTCCACTCCTATAAACTATATACTTGAATAAAAACCTCTCTACGATTCGGTGTAAATATATATTTTATGCAGAAGATACCTTCTTAAGGCTGATATTGTACATCAGCATTCCCAAAATAAATTAAATAAAATTTCAGGTCACAGGTCATTTTATATTCAGCTCCGGTTTTAAATACTAAGCAAAATAAAAAATGAATGTTTTGAAAGCAAAATATTTTGAATATGAAAAGATTACACTAAAAATAGACTATTTTGGATGCTGCATGTAACTGTTTTTCTTCAACGTGGAATCACTATAGTGTTTAAGTAAACTTCAGCTGGTAGCTTGCTGTTTTTGTCAGATAGACACCAGCTTTGCTATAAGGGAAACTACTTTACCTAATAACTGCCATAAGAAAAACAAACAGTACAAACAGTAATTACTTTTTGCAGAAAATAACGGTGTAAATAAGTGTTTTTAAATTTCCCTAACTTAATTTTTGTTTTTCTTTACTTTGTCCCTTTATGATCAATCTTTACATATTTGTACAACTCTGGGAGTATACAACTGATGTATCCTTATGGTGGTTGTCTACAGGGGAAACTCCAACCACATCATGCCAGGCTGCAGATCTCTCCCGCTGGGACAAGCTTTTTATCGCTCTGGAGGACTCCCACATGAGGCAGAACATGCTGCTGGAGTCTTTGGAGCAATGTAGCAGAGGAATGGTCTCTCTCAGGACCCAGTTTGATGTGCTGGCCAAGACGCCGTGCCAGCCGTGTGTAACCAGCCTGGAGTCCGCTTGCAGGGCGCGGGTGGAGCAGGTGAACGTCAGGCTGCAACAAGGCTTGCTGGAGCTCCGGGAGGAGGAAGCAGAGAGGGAGAGCAGGTTGAACGCTACTTTGCACCAGCTTCTGCACAGTGGCCATGAGATGAATTCCCGGCTGAAGCGGCTAGAGGCAGGCGGTGGGACGGGGCACCAACCAACACGGAGGCCCGAAGGTTCAGGGGCGGCATTCGGCCTGGGAATGAAGCCATTCACATCTGGCTTGGAGGAGCAGGAAGTTACTTCACCGCTGGACATGGCCTTAATGGAAAAGGCCCTGGTTGCCATGGCAACGGAGCTAGAGAAGGTTCACCTGCAGCTGAGCAGAGTGATGGAGCAGGCAGGAAGGACGGCGGTGATGCTTGAGTTGCCAAGAGGCAAAAAATAATGTCAGATCCATCGAGGACTTTCCAGTAGAAGTTGATATTCCACATACTCTGTTTTTATTTGCGAGCATGTTTATGTCTGGGGAGGATGAATTTAAATGTACCATTAAGTTCAGGGATTTCGGTAATGAATAAAAAACAAATGAGTTGACCTCATCAGCCTCATGGAATGGCACCCTCCCTCCTCCCATACAGTAATCAACCTATTTTCAGCATTTCAATGCACTACCTCAATGTTTGTGTAGTTGTGGCGGTGTCTGCAAATGCCGACAACCACAAGGACGTGTCTCAGAGACTTGGACTGTGTTCAATTCTGGGCAGGTCTCTCCATCACGTTAGATGCTTTAAGAGTGTCTGGATGCAAAGAGGCCACAACTTACAATGCGCAGTGTTTATGATGAATGAAAACCCACGAGAGCTATTAAAGTGCCGCCTGCCGGTCCCTCCTGCAAGAACACACACGCATTCATTGTTATAAATCACACAAAGGCTGTTGTTGACTTTTTGTGTATTTTACAGTTTATGTGTGATGGTATTTGGTCCCAGAACACCTCTTCATTTGTTTTCTCCAGTTTTATACATTTATTGTGGAGTTTCCATCCATTTATGGTGGGAAATTTAGAGAATGAGATAAAAGGAAAACGAGCAGAGAAGGTGAAAACAATATCACATATATCTTGAACAATATCTTGTTCTTAAGTATAGCAGGTTATATGGAGGAGAATTGAATTAAGTAAAAGGAGATTGTGCTTGACTAAATATACAATGTTGCATTCCAACACTAAATAAAACAGTGACAAATAACATTTGAAACAAACAAACCAGCTCAGCGCTGTTGACCACAAAATTTCTTTTGTTTAACTTAAACTACGCTGCTGTAAATCCTATGAATTTTAATGAACTAATAAAGGATTATCTTATCTCATTATAGTATCCTGCATGCATGGAAACACATGCACAGATACACACACACACACACACACACACACACACACACACACACACACACACACACACACACGGTTGTGTTAAGTCTCCATCTGTGCAGTGAATGAATTTAGTGAACGGAAGCTTCTTCATATCGGCTCATGTTTGTTCCTTTTTAACACGGAGAGGAAGAGACAAAGAAGAGAAAAGAATGATGAGGAAAATAGGGGAGAGGCTCAGGCAAAAAATTATTACCAGTTTGTAAATGAGGTAAATAGAGAGAACTGTGTCACAATCCACCAGCCCGCCAGATAGAAAGCACAATGTACCAACTGTCCGCCTCACTTTCTTCTCTGTTTGCCTCTGTTTCGTCATCTGCCATCTCTCTCTCTCTTATCTGTATGCCAATCCAATCATCTTCTCTCCCGCTGCATTTATCTTTCTCTCATTGTGTCTGGCTCCTGTCTCGCGCCGACCGATTTCTGTTTTCTTGCTGGTTTGCCAGCAACCAAGTAGGTGGTGTCAATCCTTGGCAAACCATCAGCTGGCTGGTAAAAATAACTGACATTAGACTCCTGTAAAATGCAGCCATTACACTCTCTCGCTCACACACACACACTGAAGGAGACGAGATAGACTGATAAGAAGGAAAGCATTGTGTTCAACACAGAGATTTTAATGTCACATCTAATAGTCACGACAACAGACACCACGATATTGGACCCTTCTCAAAAGCATAGAGGACGATACAAAAATTGATAGAGCTCCAATAAACATTTAGCAGTCTCTTATGTGCACCGTAACCAATCGTATGAAGGAGGGGTTGAGGGGACGATATGGAGGAGGTGGGAAGCGGAAAGAAGAGATGCCTATTTGATAGGCGAGTCCAGGATCTCCTCGTACTCTTCCCTTTGGCGCCGCCCCCCCCCACGGGCCGGTAGCAGCTTTGTCGCCACAAGCCAACCGACGCTCAGTATGACCATCACGCTGCCAACGACCTCCGGCGCAGTGGGAGCCAACGGCAGCACCGCCAGATGCAGCAGCATGGCGACGGGCACCTCCAGGCTCTGAGAGGCGGAGACGAGAGCGGGGTGGAGTCGGCTGAGGGCGTGCGTCATCCCCAGAAAGGCTGCTGCCGAGCATGCAACCAGGCCCAGGACCAGGCCCCAGGCGGGGGCACTCGAGGGCCAGGACCAGCCCTCCTGGAGCAGAGCCAACGAGGCCGGGGCGAGCAGGCAGCCCGTCCAGCTGACCGTGAACAAGGCTGTGCCCACCCCCACCCTTTCCTTCAGGGAACGATACCCAACTAGCGCCAAGGCCATCCACAGCCCAGCGAGAGCTGAAAGAGACCAACCAAACGCACGCCTCCAGAAAGCAACCGGGTCGGTCGGTGAGTCTGAGTTGCTCTCGTCTGGTGTGGGGAGTAAAACGAGCCCCAAGCCACACAGCCCTGCCGCCACGGTGATCCCATCGGCCAATCCCAGCCTCTCCTCCAGGAGCAGGAAGGCCAGGGTCGCCGACAGCGCCGTGGTCGCCAGGCGCCAGGTTGTCGTGGCGTTTCCGGGAGAGACGAAGGTTAGCGAGGCGTAGGCGCAGCAGAGGGAGAGAGCGTAGGCGACGCCGTAGCAGAGCAGACGTAGGCGGTAGCCCGGCGGTCCAAAAAGGTTCTCCCCTCTGTGCAGTGGTACGACCACAGAAAGGAGCTGCACGATGGACCGAACCAAGAGCAGGAACAGGGGGCCCAGGCTGAAACGTTCAGAGGCCAGGCGGGTCAAAACGATCAAACAGCCGTGCGCCAGCGCCGCGCCCAACAGACCCACCCAGGTGAGCCGAGACGCAGACACTGACGCCTCCCCGAAACTGGCCAGCTGCTCCCCGACTCCTTTCCCAGACCCCTTCGCTGCTTTGGCTCCCCCCTCGCCGCCGCCGCCATCTCCCGCCCCCGCCGCTTGAGGCTTTTTATTCGTGTCTTTGTCTTTGGCGCCAAACAGAGTCAGAGGCCACTTCTTGCCCTCCGTCAGCTGTTTCTTGTCTGACGTCTCCTCCAGGAAGGAGCCAAAGTCCTCGAAAGACGGAGCGTCATCGTAGCCCTCGTCCCCCGGCTGTGGGAAGTGTGTGTGTACTCCGGGTTGAGGGGAGTAGGGGGTGTGCTTGGTGTATTTGGCGGTGACGGTGTGAGGGTGGATCTTTACCCTCTTCTTGGAGCTGCTCAGGAGGTGAGTGGACTCCATTTTAAAACGTCGTTGGTGACAGACACCTGCGAAGGAGAGGACACTTTAGAACCAAATACAGGATATGGTGAACACACGCGCTCCTGCAAAATCCTCGTTCTGATTTTTTTCCCTCACGCTGTCCCTCGCTAGGATGCCGCTTGATATCTCATGTATTTTTTATATCAGAGATAATAATAGCTGTGACTCTTTCCGTGTGCCCCTCGCGTTTGGCAGGGAATGAAGCTCTGGCTGTCTGAGCAGTCACTGGTTTAATTGGTGTTTTTTTGAGGAGAGTTCACATTGAGTTCATATTAGTGGAACCACAAAGCACCGTAATGGCAGATTAACAACTCTATTGTCGGGCCTTTTAGACATCTCGGATAACGCGACCTTCAAGGGGTGTTAGAGATGGTTGCCAAGGACGCTTACGCAAGCAGGCGCGTCATGCCTCATTTGTTTTTTTATATCTCTTCTTCTCTCACGTTTTATATCCAAGCGTCTAAAAATGAAACAGAACTATTGTTCATCCTGGCAAAACATCGGATGTGTCAGCTTTTGCATAAAAACAGATATGAGTCTCAAATCTAACGTCGGATTTATTACCTCCATCTCTACCGTCTCCCTCCCTTCCTCATTTCATCTCTCCATCGCTTTAACTTTTCCCCTTTCAGATGCTGCTCCACGGGTGACTAACTTGTACCTGCGGTAGTAATAGCTCTCTGCAGCAGAAAAATATGGCCGTGCAGGTGATGGACGGTACATACCCACTGCTGCATTGTGGTTGTAAAACACTCTGCAGTCCAGTGGTTTCTGGAGAATACTTTTACATAATATTCAGTCATGTAAGGCATGTGGAGCCTATAATGCTCAGTTATAGTCACGATTGCTGGGTATTACTTGGCTAAAAACAGCAGGTGAACTCATTGACTCATTGCAATACAGTACGTTCACACACACACACACACACACTCTGAGTGGCAACGCATTCATTACAAGATGTGCAGTTAGAACGTCTACAGTCAAAACAGTGTTTGTGTGAGGCTGTGCTTAAGCACAGCGGTGCTTTGAGCTGAACGCTGCCGTCAGCTTGATAACATGCTTTCAATGACGAGGCTAACGTGCTTATTTCAGGTATTTTGACCACCATTTACTTTTTTGTTTGCTCATAGCAGGAATTTGGGGGTGGATCCGTGGCTTTTATGACAGTTATGACAGCTTGAAGGGTCTTGCTTGGTGCATCTATCGGAGAAATCAAAATAATACTAATACTTTATTCCTTACCAATAAAACACGAGCTGGACTAAAATAATTAAGCATTTATTTGGGTAAAATGAAACATTCAAGATTTCACAACCTCACAGGTCGCTGAACCTGCAGTAAAACATAATGAAGAAAAAAATAAAACCTCAAGTATCAGGTTGCACCGGTGACATTTGATTTGACATTTACTTCACCCCCTGCAAGCCAAATGGAACCAGACGTTCCGTTCGGTGAAAAACAAAAAGCATGGAGGGATTGTGATTTTCCAGACTGTTCCCTTCTCAGTCTTTAGTATTTTCTGATCTTAATGATGCAGCCTGCCTCTGCAATGCTGCTGCTCTTAAGAGCCTGTTCCACCCCTTACACCACCTAAAATGAGCCGCCTCTAGGCAGCATCGAACCTGCATATTGTGAAACAAGGCACAAAGATCTTCTGAGGATGCTCTTTAGACTGTAATTATAAGCATCTTCCATTTTTTAATGCAAATGTATCTCTGATATGGACTAAGAGTAGGCTAAACCCTTTATGAATGGTATGGTAATTAACAGAATGAATATATAGGTATACATATACGCACAATTATGTCCATACTGTGTTCTTTACTTTGGCGGTATGCAGATCCACGTTTTGCTTATGTGTCTGTTAGTATTTAAGTGAGCGTCTGCAGAGGGAAGATGTTATCAAGGTTTCAAGGTTATCAAGGTTCTACGGTGACGCGCACCGGTGACCCCAGTGTGTTGGCACACACACACACACACGCACGCACGCGCGCAAAACGTCAGGGACGTGCTCCACGTGTTGTTGCCTTTGAGTCCAATTGAATAGTGTTATTACATAATAACGCATCATTGATCGGCTGGTCCAGACATTGTACAAGACCCGCACCTACAGTGACGCCGGTTCGATACCCGCCTCCGGCACGCGGTGAGGCGTTTGGTTTGGCTTCCTCCATACGGCATGCGTCGTCATGGCTCAGGGTTCGGACGCATAAGTGTGTGTGTGTGTGCGTGCACACTATGCACGCACACTTATGCGTGCACCCGCACACTGGCACGCCGAGGCGCAATCAACGGACCACCGGGTTGGCTATTTAGAGCTTATCGTTAAGGGGACAGAAAAAAAAACTCCTCCGCCCCAACTCACCTGCTTTCCTGCAAACAGCGGATCTCGGGTTGAACCTGACACTCGGTCAGCCACAGTCATTTACCGAGCATCCTCAAGGATTCATCATCTCCCTCCTTGGCCATTTGTTCTTCCCCGTCCTTTTTGCCCGCACCCTGTCCTCCTCCTCCGCCTCTGTGTCCTGCCACGGCCAATAGTCTCCTCAAGGACAAACGCGCTGCGGTCGCCTCGCTTCCCTCTGCGGGAGGACAAAGCGCGTTCTGTGGCGACCTGCTGCCCGTCCACTCCTCTCCGAGGTCTGATACAGATGCGCCTCCGCAGCCTGCCCATAGAGATACAGAGAGAGAGAGAGGGAGAGAGGGGAAGAGGGAGACAGGGGGAGGGGGGGTGAAGGAGAAGTAATCATAACGTCTGAGCATGCGTGACGACCATTGAACATCAGCACTGTATTATAATTGTATGGTGTCTGTTACAACAACCGAGGCCACCAAAAGATGGCAACTCAATTATCTGGGACTTGGAAATATGGGAATAAGCACACATATAAAATGTCTTTATTCAGGTTCTGTACTTGTACTTCATCATAATCTCATCAGCTACGGGCTCGTACCAAACACTTTTCACTATCTTCATTCTGCCATTGGA